CTTTTTCTCAAAATGAGTCCATTTCAAAATTTGAGGTAAGCTTATGGCAACCATTTATAAATTCTAAGTTAGCTATAAAATGAAGATATTTATCAAAGAAAATATAAGCTGCCTTACCATTAATTTTCAAATATTGGAGAGTTTAAAAAAATTGTCCTGCTCTTTAATGTCAGCAGAAATAGGGAGAAATCATCTTTGTCTTTTGGAGAGCAATTCAAGCGGTATAAAGACATCAGGCACGCAAGTGTTATTGTTTTATAGGTGTACTATTGGAGGTTTCACAAAGGCCAGTACATTCTACCTCATTGCTCCCAGCAGTGTTAGAGGTGAGGCGAGTCAGATGAAAATTGCAAATCAACAGTTACATTGAATATTTCCAGAAGGTGAGATCTAAATTTCATTTGTATTCTATTGAAGAAACTGAAAATATGTGAATGAGTCAGGTCTGCTTGTACCAGCTGACAAAGCCTGTAAAGAACTCTTCCTTAGGAAAATAACCTATTTGTATAGTTGTGAAAAAAAAGTTGAAGTAAATTATTAAACGTTATGCAGCCATTTAGATCATAGTTTAAACTGGAATTACTTGAAACATTGTGGAAATCCTTAGCAACCATTAGCTGTAGTCAATATTTAGGGTCATATTTTAATTTAATTGCAGGATAAACATATGCCCTGCCTTTAATGTTCTTTGACACATATTAAAAAAATAAGGAATTTTCATAGAAGGTATTCTTAGCCAAATTCTGTTTATGTATCACTGAGTCATGCCTGGACCTGCAAAAAGTCCTATGCACCTTTATGGCCATAATTCGGTGTGCCAGTTGTCTTTTTTATTTACATATAAGTAACAGCACAGAAGCACTGGCTGTAGGGCTGAAAGGGAAGGAAATAGAAAATTCGCAGGCACGAGAAATGAGCTGGATGTGCTTTCAGGAACAGCAGTTCCAAGATTAGGTAGTGCGTGTTTGCTAGCCAACTGAGTGTGTGCCCTTTGGGAAAGAAAGAAACAGTCAAGGGCAGAAAGCATGGGAAGAACTCTGTCAAAAATGGAGTCAAGAACCCCTCTGCTACCACTATTCTATCACTTAAGAAGGAGCAGCAGGGATAAATATTGGAAGGAAGAAAAATCAGCTCGTAAAGGCAGGCATTTAACCTAGCCTAGGTAATGAATAACCAGCACATGCATAGGATCTTGGCAGTGGAGGGAGAAAGGAAGGGTAGAGCTGGTGACATCAAAGAATAACTCATCCTGCCACAACAGCAAGGAATTCATGAATGCCAGGGAAATAGGGAGACTATCAGCTCTACAGGCAGGAGCTAAATGAGCAGAACCTTGCAAAAATCACTAGTTAAAACTTTACCTAATTCTCTAGTAGGTGAATTTTTTGTATTAAAATTATGAACACTGAAAGCAGAATAAGCATATACTGAGCTCTGTGGATGTGAAAAGTGTTTGCACTTTCTTCAGGTATGCAAAAGGTAGTAGTGGCTTGTAGGTAAAGGCTGTATTTTGTAGAAATTGATGTGATGATTACACCACCAACTGTGATGAATCATTCCTTAGGGAAATAATGAACATGAAACAGGCTTAAAAGTGGATATTAAAATCTGCTTTTTAAATTCATAATTTTAAATAGATTATTTGAAGCACTTAAGTCAATGTCTTCCATAGTGTATGGAGCATAATACAGTCCATTGTAGTGCTGGTCTTTAAGATGCTAATCTAATTACAGGCACAACTTTTGCCATAGCTGTAATGTTCCTTATATTTGTCATGCTACAGGTTTTAACAAACACCTGCATACCTAGCAACGTTTTCAAAAAACAAAAACCCCCAACAAACAAACCAACAACAAATAAATCAAAACCCATATTAATTTGAGCCACTTTTGGCCTTCCAGCCATAACTAGATATGTCACTCTGAAGTACATGTGTGTATTTGATGGTATATACAGAACACAAGGCTTTTTGTATAACAAGGAAAGGAATGGAAAACCAATCATGAGGAGGGACAGGAAAGTAGACTTGGTATATATGTATTTTGGGAATTGGCATGGCTACAGCAAGCTGAATGCTTTGATGAGTAGGACAGGTAGTAAGGGTGTGCTGTGAACGTGAAAAGAGGGCTGCTGTGGTCAGGGAGGGAGTGACTTTGGCTTGGTGGGACAACTGGTGATGGTGAGACAAACTTTGCTGTCTCTCAACAGAGAGCTCCAACTCCGCATGAGATTTCAAAAGCTAACTCGTTTCAGCTTGGTGTGTGTATTAGTGGGCTTCTAGCCACAGCATATTATGAGAGATTATCCTGAGTGAAAATTTAGCCCACGTGATGAGCAGAAAATCTTATGCTTGAACTTTCTCTCCCACAAGGAATGATGGTAGAGCATAAGCATGTAGATGATTTGTGACTGGTTAAAGAAAGAGCACTTAGGTTTTCATGCACTTCTGTTTTCTCGAATAGTCAAAACATTTCTGCCAAAAAAAAGTAGGCTCATGCCTTAGAAAGAAATAGCTGGAATCAGTTAAAGAGTTGTAACAAAAAGTATTGTTCACCTCTTACCAGGTCATAATAAAGGGAAAACGATATGGGTAAGAACTGCTTGAGAGAAAGGCATGGGGGTGGCAGAAGGGGAGAAAGAAGTATGAAAAGAGAACAGACTCAAGAGCAAAACCAGAGGTGACTGTGAATACCAGGTGAGGGGATATTTTAAAAGTTGCCCCGAATGAGTATAATTATTGGCAAATACATGCTGAGTAGAGGACACAGGCAGCTGGCAACAGCAGAGCAGATTGTGTGAAATAAAGGTTGAGAATCAAAGAGCATAAGGCTAAAGATGGTTTCTCCTATAGAAGGTGCTGTGTCTTCAGCAGACCAGATGAGAGTATCAAGGCTGCAGATACTGTACACATTGGAGAAGAGGAAAATACAGAAATTGGCCATTCTGCCACACTCAAGTAGCAGTCACTGATCCTCTCTGGTCTGAGGACCAAAACCACTTTGCAGGTAAGATCTTCAGATTTGCTCAACCAAAGATGTAGAGGTAGTGGCAGCCTCCCTTAGTAGCAAAGCAGACTTGTAGGTTTGTGGGCAATACTTCAGACTCATCTGGCAAAGTCCTTTGTGCTTTTTTTGGCACAATAGCTTTTAAGTAAGTTGTTGTTTTGGCTTCTCCAGACTCAGAAATACAAGAGCAGGCTGAAAGGCAGGAGCGTAAACCATTTAAAACTGCTCCCCTGGGCAGACAGCAGAGCTTCCCACCACCTGCTTCATTGCCCCTCTGTGGGGTATTTGTGTGTGCAGTGATAAGTGTGCAGGTTTGCTTCATTTCCCATCACAGTAGCTGGAGGGCTTGGATTGTTGTCACAGAGCAGACTGAGTAGCAGCCTGTCTCTTTCCAGCAGAAAACAAATGGGGCATCAAAGTAGCACATGCTGCTTTCTTCCTTGGGGTGGATGGTATGATTATAATGCAGTTATCTATGTTTAAAAAAGAAGTCTTTTGTAAACACTCCTGTTGCCAGTATTCTGTTGTAAATATTTCAGAAGAAAAATGTTTGGGTTTTTTTTCTTCTTTTTTTTTTTTGAGTAGGTGTTGGAAGCAGCTGTAGTGCATGTAACATACCAACATTTTTCCAGTTGAATTAAATTAACATAGCTGGAAATGTCAGTAGCCATCATGGGGTAAGGTTCTCTTATGCAACTCATCTCCCATCTTACCTGGTTACCTTCCTCTTCTGTATTCACTTTTATTTCTTACTGGGCAGCTGAAAGAGAAGGCAATAGTTCTAGTCAACGCTAAAAGGACATGAAAAATTCTTTGGGTATTGTTGTGGTTTACTCCCAGTCAGCAACTGAGCACTAACCAGCCTCTTACTCACTTACCCTCTTGTCTGGCCAGGGGAAGAGAATTGGAAGAGCAAAAGTGAGAAAACCCATGGGTTCAGATAAGACAGTTTATTGGGTAAAGCAGAAGCCACATGCACAAGCAAAGCCAAACAAGGAATTAATTCACTACTTCCCACTGGCAGGCAGGTGTTCAGCCATTCCCAGGGCAGCAGGGCTCCATCACATGTAATGGCTACTCGGAAGACAAATGTCATCACTCCAAACGTCCCCTCATTAGTCCTCCCCCAGCTTTATATGCTGAGCATGACAGCATGTGGTCTGGGGTACCACTTGGATCAGTTGGGGTCAGCTGTCCCAGCTAAGAATCTAGAAGTTAAGTTATTTTGGTGACAATTGGTAGATAAAGAGTTTAACTGATTTGGACGGCTGCTGATCCAGTTCAAGAAACAAGCCAAATCCACAACTTAAAATACAATAACTTTGAAATTTGAGGAGGGGAAGAAGGGTAATGTATGTGCACCAGAGTGAAGCCACCTGTCCGCAGTTCAAAGTCTGAATGGCTTGCAGGTACCACCCCCAGCTTTTAAGGATAAAGAGCTCAGAGCATATTCTGTTTGTTGAACCTTGATACTGTGTTGAATTTGATGGACTTCTTAAAATTGATTGTTAACTGGAATCTCTGTAACAGACTTAATTATCTGATATAATAGATACTTAGAAGTTAATAATAAACTCAGAAATCCACTGCTTGTCCAGCTGTCGTGTTAATTATGTTAACAACACATTGGCAGTTACTTTGATTTAAGCACTATGGGTTTGGTTTGCCTTTCTGTTCCGGTTCACTCTCTGCATACCTTTATTTAAGGTGTACTTGCTGCCCTTCCAAGCATACAAAGGAGCACACAAGGTCATCTAAGGAGGCTGCTGTGAACCACACACAAACTTTCTCCATCAGAGCATCCCTGAATACTCTAATACTGAAAGCCAGGTGCTCCTTTTTAACTGGAGCCAACTGCTGCCTAATTTTGAGTAAACTGCTTCTCGTAATAGGAATGGCTGTTTCATTTCATCCATTGAAGTGCAATTCAACGGCCAAATCTCCACCCATTCTGAACACAGCATTCCTTTCGTCGCCCTTATATAAAGGTAAGGTTGCACTGGAGGCAGACTGGAATGCTTGTTCAGCCTCAGTAAAGACGTCTGGTCTCATGATAGTTGGAAAGATGAAGCTTCTGGTACTCTGTGAATTTTTGTTTGTCTTTCTTTTGTTTCTCAATGCCTTTACCGCAGAAGGTACAGTATATCCTTATAACACAATTGTCTCCTATCTTATTCTTTCCTTTTGTGATATAAAAACACTTATTCTCTATGTTGATTTTAATTAAAAGAAAACAGCTTGACAACTGGAAAGGAGAAAATGAATTTAGGAAAGGAATTAGACTGCAGAATGTGTTTGCATATCAATGCTTTGTTTTGTATGGACAGTAGTGTTTCCTATCTGTTACTTCCTCTTGCACTCCTCAGCATGATTAAGTTTTACCTTAATCTGTGTTCTGAAACCTGCTCCTCTGAAAAAAATTCTATTACTTTTCCAGTAGATAACCATCTGCCAATCTAAAAATTATATATTTTTCTGAATTGTGAAAAATGCATTAATGGAAAAAGTTTCTACCCTTATGGAACAAGGGAATAGATAGCATTCAGGTCACCAGAACTGGAGCAATTGAGAAGTTCTTTACAGAACAGTGAAACAAGTGGAAGTAGCTCTTCTGACCTTCTATCAGTCTTGACTCATTTTTTAACCACTGGCATTTCACTTTAATTGCAGTATTCCCTTGTGGCACTGAGTTACCATTTTGCAGTATTCCAAATTGTGCAAATTCGTTGATCGGTTTAAATCTTAAAAACAGGGGGGTTTGCATCTATCTGTAGCCACACCCCTAGAGATGTCATTCTGTGTTTGCAGGGGGACAGTTTAGTAGGATTTTTAAATTGAAAGTTGCATCTTTTAGAGTTACCTGTTCAGATTTGTTGTTTGATGTTGTAAATCTTGGAGAGCTATCATGATTGCTCCATGCATTTATTTTACACAAGATGTAAAGAATGAATATGAGATAAGGAAAACCAAATAAGCTAAATGTTCAAAGGTCAGGAGCAGCAGATTTGCCATGCTTTGTATTTTCTAGACACCTCATTAGAATCACTTTATTTGCAAATGAGTGTGGAGAGATGTGGAAGACAACATGTGATTGTCTTTCAAACTGATCAAGTAAGCTGCTCAGTTTTCTCATTTACTGGAGTCTGTTCTGAGTGGTAGAGAGCTGTTTGCCAGAGCGGTAATACCTGAAGTTCTTCTGCTCCCTTGGCATTTTCCACTTCTCTATTTATTCAGGGTTCCCAAACCTGTTGATGAAAATGTAAGGAAAAGTGCAACGGGAGTTGGAGAATTTCTAGATTTGTCTTCAGGACCATAGTAGAAGTCTGTCCAGAAAGGACAGGAGACAGGAGTACCCTGTAAACCTAAATGAATACACTCAGCATCCTATAATAATGCTCTCTTTTTATTACACTGCGTTCTAGGAGTTTGGTCCTTCAACAAGACAGAAGGTGGAGAGAAAGTGTGCAAAGGACATTGTTCCTTATCCATAAACACACTGATGGGAAGGTAGAAGTGCCTGGGTGTGCAAGATGAATGTACTTTTTGTGTAAAACCTGTTACACCAGAATGAAACTATGGTGACAAGATACTTCAAACCTCTTAGATGCTACAGCAGCCACAACCACTATCCTTGGCTGTAGAACTGTGCCACAGGGATTTCCAGAAACATTGAGCACGTATGAGATTTTGTTTCTGAGAAATCACCTACCTCTGTCCTTTCTGGTCTACCTCAGCTCCAGTGTCAAGCTTTCTTCCCCCTTTAACGTGTCCAGCACATAACATGTCAAGTGCAATCAACAGCTCACTTATTTAGGTCTAGTAGGGAGGGAATAATTAAATGGCTTTGCTCACCTGAAGTAACTTATTCTACACTCCTGTTCATATGGACACACAGATATGCTTTCTCCTGCTTGGTAATCTTTTATATGTAATCTTTTATATTTTCATTAAGTGATGTAACTATAAAAAGAGTGCAGAGTTTTTCTTAGGTTAAAACATCTAGAATTTGCTGCTTGTATTGCCTGCCAATATGTGACATTTCAAAGGGTAAAAAGTCTTCATGTATCCGGTGTATGTACTAGTAATGATGGAAAAGAACAAATTAATTCCCATTCCATGCTAGGAATGGGAATAAATAAATAAATAAAGCCATGCACAGGTGTAAACATCAGTCATGATGATATTTGGTTTCACAGATCTCTCTGTTCAAGGATTTCAATGATAAATATGGTAATTAAAATGTCTGTGGACTGTAACCCATTTAGAATACATAAGTAGAGCTATTTGCATTATCTGTCTCCACTGGTAATGTATTCCTCTTCACCTTTAGGTAGGAAGGTTAAAGAAGTCAGTCGCTCAAAACTATCCAAACTCAACAAAAAGGTGCCTAAAGGTAATAAGATTTACAGTTTCATTGCATTAATTAGGTAATCATTATAGATAAATCACAGTATGTAGAGGTTTTTCTATTTGAAAACTTTGCAGAATTTTCCGTGAAGGTATTATCTTCATTGCACTACTGAAATTTTTCTCTTTTCTCAAATAACTTGCTGAATGCTTGGATCAGGAAGAAATAGGAGAAGAGAATCTGTTTAGTGCTCACAGTGTAAAACAATCAAGAGAAATATGATCTAGTCTGATCAATGCATAAACTATTCATATCACTTCCTGCTTCCTAGAAGGTTTTATTCTTGTTTTGAGGGCAGGAAGAATAGTACCATAGCATAGTTCCTCATTAATAAGAATACTCTGCAAAAGTCAAGTTTTTTTCATGCCTTTGCCTTGCTGTGTTTTATCATTGACTATTTGTGGCTGCATCCATCTCCATGTTTTGAGAGATCAACCAAAATGTGATTCTGTAAATTCCTAAAAACTACAGCTTTTGAACCCACAGCTCTAGCAGGAACAAGAATTACCTGAGATGGAATTTGTCCCAAATATGCATGTCTAAAGACTGTGCAAGTAGAAATCCACTTGCATTGACGTACATGGTAGTTTTTTCAAGCCAAATATGTTCCCTGCTCAGAGAAAGTGGGAGGGGAAGACCACCCTGTGGTATTTTGAGACCATTTATTCTAAGGGGAAATAGAGAACAGCCACAGCCTTCAAAGTGAAGGTAAAGCACTTTGCTGCTTTTTAAAGTATCCACATTCTAGATGGGAGTTTTAAATGGTAGCTTTCCTTTCAGAAAACCAATCTTCACTGTTTGAGTTTTAGGGTTGTTTTTTTTTTTTTTTTTCTTCTTTTCTGAGTGGCTGGTGTCTCACTGTGAACTGGAGTTCCAATGTAAATACTTCCAGCTACAAGCTCAGTATTCCCTCCCTATGTACCTCTTTGTTTACTTAAAATGCCCTGTGTACCTTCACAAGGCTGAAACCAGCCTCCTTTGCCTGGCTCTGGAACAAGGTAATACCAGAACGAGTAAGGCAGCTCAGAGTTACCTTAGCTTCTTGCTCATGTGAGCAATCAGAGAACTAAATCTGAAATTAAATTTCCCATTCTAGTTAGAGCTACTTTTGATAGCAAAAAGCACATTTCCTGCAGAGTCAGTGTTTTCTAAAGTGGTGATTGGAATTTCTGCCATCAAATCAGTGCTTTCACTGTATAAATATGGCAGTTTTATCTCTTAGCGACCTTGTCCACTTTCATATATCCTATTATGGTCATCTGACACTGTCACTAGTCCAGAAAATCTCAGTTTACTTCTTTCTGTATGTCCATAGTATCCCTAGTTTCAGTAAGACCCCAGTAAAAAAGCCTAAACCATGAACAAGTTTAAGGTAAAATTATTAGGTATGCTCTTTAGGATAACAGCTTCTAAAGTCATTAAAATGGCTAGCTGACAACTTGCACTAAACTCTATAGATACAGAATTTGATTTAAAATAGTCTATTTCCTATTTACTTATTTACCTTCTTCTAATCTTTTCATCATAAAATGACTAATTTGGAACTACATGATCTTAAGGTCCTTTCCAACCTTAACTATTCTATTAGTCTATGATTCTATGACTAATTTGAAATTCCCAGCAAATTCATTCCAGCTGATAAAATACTTTAAATGCTTTATTCCTTTTTGCATTTAGATAAACGTAAGTGGAAATCCCTGTGCTTTTCTGTGTTTTCCCTTTAGCTGGTGTCTTTCCCTCCGGTCTCCCAGTGCTGAATCATGGGTTTTGTTTTATAGGCAATGTCTAATTGGTACCAGGGGCAGTGAACCCATTTCAGAGTTATGCCTGTGGGTGACCGGTTTATATCTGTTTGGGGTCTTATTTAATTGGTAGGTGAAGTAGCAATGGAGAACTTCAGCTATAAATGATCTACGGCAACAACAGTGAGTTCCCAGCCCATCTAAAAGGACTGTGGCATGCAATGCTGAATGCACAGATGTGGCTTTTGTCACTCTTGGCCTGAAAGGGATGCCATGTCTTACCTCATGAGGCCTATAACCTTTCCAAAGTACTGAGACTTCTTACAATGAGCATGGTTATTACTTTTCATTCTGAGGTATGTTCTGCTATCTGACAAAGTAGAACGTGTTTTAGGGTTTTTTTTATGCAACAGGCATGAAATCCTTCTGATAAAATGTGCTTCCAAAACCAACGTTCCTTTGAAACTGTTCCCTGTGGGTAAAATACAGTAATACTGCTCTCACAGAGCAAGGGAAAGTACTATGTTGAGAGGGAGAAAGAAGTACAAAGGAAGAGCTCCATGAAGCCCTGTAAATTCACCACAAGGATCCCTTACAAAAGGAATCTGAAATGTCTTTCTCTGTTGCAGACCTAGTAATACTTGATGATTTTTGCTTGTCCCCATTAGACTCTGTCCTTGTTCTCTGAGCACTTGGACATGCTTACAGTGACCATCTCCTGCCCCTAGCTGCAGTCAAACCTGATTTAGGTCAGGGATTGCTGTTTATTTGCTTTCACACAGGGTGACCCTGTCTGCTGCATGTGCCTTCTTGTCTCTGTTACAAACCTGCTTGTATGAAAATGCTTGATCTGAATCTGTTTCGACTCCTATTGGGAGGCAGGTGTAAAAGCTTAAGCGTAATGCAGCAACTGGAATTGTACAATGTTAGGTTTGTTTTGTGTTGTTATGAGAGTTCTGGGTGACTTGTGATTCTGTGGTGCTGTCTGTTCTAGAAGAATGCTACTTGCTTTATACAGTCCTTTTATGAGTGTTACTCTGCACCATTCTTTGTGCTGGGCATGTGCTTAGGGGAAGCTGCAAAGCCACTCAGAGGCTAACTCAGTGTGGCTGAAGGAGGCAGGTAACCATACTGGCTACTTTTAAGGCAAAACCACTGATTTTCTAGAACTTTGTTCTTTCATCGGAAACAATTACTGTCGCAGAAAGAGAATGTTTCAAGGAAATGTCAGCCTGTGGATTCTGTCCAGGAAAGATGGTGAATGTGGTGATAGTAAGGGGAAGATACTGTTGACTGTGGGATTCAAGCTCTGGAGAGACTGTAGCACTGCCCCTGTAACTATGAAGACCTTCATCTGACTGTAGAAACTTCCAGCAGCAGCAATCATGTTTTCAGTGATTGTGCACCCTTGGTACCGGGAGAAAAAGCTGCTGTGAATGATTGATCTCCAGGAACCTAATGACAAGGGAAATAAAAAGAAAACTACCATCACATCCGTTTTCATTATCCACCCTGATAATCTAAGCCTGCCCATATAAACACGTCTCAGGTTCAGGTATTATAAGTTTTGTGCCATGCTCCACACTCCCAATTAAACAACTCTTTCCATTTTCTCTCCTCTCCATCTTTGTTTTACAGATATGAATTTCAAAATGAGCCTGATGGAAATAAGGAAATACTGCAAGAATTGTCCTCAGAAAGCCCTTAAAAAAGTTCCTGGACCCCTTCCACAGTTAAAATGAGCAGAGTGAGAACAGGATGAAAAACAGCTGCCTGCTGGCACATCTCACAGAGCTTTACTTGGTGGAGGGCCCTGCTTGCACAGACAGGACATGAGTGTATCTTATTATTTTCATTTGGGAAAGGCTTCACTACTGTTTATTCATTCATTCAGGCTCCATCATCTTGATAACATTAGCCTGGCAGCTAAAGAGTCAGGAAAAGCTGTCTAGCTGCCACCAGATTTCATGTCACTTATATATTCCTCTGCACCAAGCAGGGATTTAGGTCCTCAGGTGAGAGGATAAGGAGACCCTGGTTGAAGACCTTGCTGAATCAGTATATTTAGTGTTTATGGATCGCCTGACAGGTGGTAAAGGACTGATATTATTGTTTCTAGTTATTGGTATATACGCATATTTAACCTTTTCTATGAATGATTTATTTTGTGTTGACAAAACTATCGTGTTTGTAGCTAGGCACATGATGATTTTTCCTGCAGCTTTTGCTCTCAGTGCTTGAAATCCACTTGAAATTACATTTCTAGTGAATGAGATAGAGTTCATCATTTAGAAACAGCTGAGAAACTAGATAAGCAGATAGCTAAAATAGTGGTAAAAGACCAGATTTGTGTACAGTGGTAAGCCTTTGAGTATCTTCTCTGAGGGTTTAAATCTGACTTTAAATGCAAAGAGGCCCGTTTAAGTTCCTAGAAGAATGTCATCAGGTGGTTATTAAACAGCATACTGAAAAGTGTTAAAGCTAATCAGATTAAATATCTTCCGCCTGAAGCCAGAAGGCATCTGCTCTTTCAAGACACCTGAGTTGTGTGATCACCCAATAAACAAAAATTGCTGGAGCATGAAATTAATGCAAAGAATAATACCAAAGGGCTGAACAACAGAGAAACTGGAGCACGCTCTGCTGACATCATTAGCAGTGATTGGTGTCTTCACTCACATATCTTTTGTCCTTTCCTAATTGTCCTCTGCATATGCTATTTCTCTGCCTGGAGGTGAGTCCTTAAAACAGAATTATTTGGTGGATCGTAAATTCATTTTTTGTTCTAGTGAATATGAGGAGGAGTAGGAAGATTTCCTGCTCTTGGGGAAATTGCAGATTGGAAATAATAATTTTTCCCTCAGTACTCATAGTACCACTGCTTCTCTTAAAATAATTTTCAGTACAATAGGAATGGTCTCAGTGCCCTTCAGAACTGGGGGGAGTTGAATGGGGACAGTCAGAGGCCTGTTGTAGCCCACACAGGCAAATGCAATTCCCAAAGGTCACATTTATGGGCAGTTACATGAGGCCATGCCCTCACTGTCAATGTTTCTATTGTAACGAGCAATTGAACCTATTTCTGAGTCTCCTGTGTGCTTATTATTGTTTTATTTTCTTATTAGTTTTGAGATTAGATAGATCTGACTCTCAGCTTCCTATTTTTGAAGAGCTGACCATGCATAGCATTTTTATATCGAGGATGAAGGAGCTGCCAGTTCTCCTCACACGAACTTTGAGTCAGGAGGATGGCGAAGCAGTTATGTTTGATTGTTCTGTTGCTGATCACTGGGCCAACTTATTTTATTTCTATTTTGTCTTTTGTAGAAGGAATCCCTAGAATACAAATGACAAATACATGTGAAGAGAATTTTTGGTATTAAACGTTTGCAGCAGGTTTTTGCTCTGTAAGATATAACCATGTGCGTTTTCAGCTCTATATAAAGCATTGTGAACTAGTATTAAGTTTTCTTTTACATCTGAAAAAAATGCTGTGTGATTTTTCTCTTTGCCCCACACTTTCTAGTCCTCCTCAGGCAAAACGTTTTTTCTGATAGCAAAAACATAAGCATCAATGACCATTGAAAGAATACTATGGGTCTTCTGGAGGGATCCTGGGACACCACTTAATGGTCTTCAGTATTTTTACTCTCTGAGTTTCCCTAACTGCCCTCAACCTAAGGTTAAGGGCTATTCAAGTTAAAGATGCTGCTTGTGTGAGGTCCTTTGTTTCAGTCTTTGCTGAACAAAATAAAACAGATATTCTCAAATTATTTCAGCATAGATTGTGACTGCTGCCCAAACATGCTTTTTTGTTTCATCTAGAGGTATCGGGATGCTGTGTGTCAGCCCTTGAAGGTGATTCCTCAACAGAGTTTGACTTTTATGTACCAGGCTGTTTTCCCCATCTAGTAAAACACAGCTACCATCTGATGCTGGGTTCACTTACAGGCATCTGTTCTTCTTTTTGCTTTCCTTTCACTTCTACATATATTTGTTTGGTATTACCTGAGGAGTAACATATATTTGCTCTGTGGGTTTTCAAAGTGCAAAAGCTGTATGCAGAAATAAAGTAGTAAATTTAGCTTGTCCAAACTGACAAATGTTATGGGGTGTTTTGTTGTTGTTTTGTGGGTTTTTTTTTATATCTTGTGTTTTTGTGTGCATTTGGCTGTCAAACAAAAAAATTGCACAGTAGGAACAAAAGTTCCTTCAAGTTCCAGTAAAGGTGTTTTTTAAGTATCTCTATGCCTGTCAGAACAGATTAGATCCTGGTCTGACCTTGTGAACTAAATGAGCCAGGTAGCTCCTCACTTTTTTTAGAACTTAATACCATCAGAAAACCCCAAATCAGTCTGTCTTATTTGGCACTATGACTGTGAGTTGTCAGGAGCAATGGAGAAATGATCCCTGCTGTCAGAAAGTGTTGGTTGGTGCAGAGGCAGGTTCGGGGATCTCTCCTTTCAAAGTGGGTAATAAAAGAAATGAAATTATGTGGTTTTTGTACAGAATGTGATCCCAAAGGGTCTAATGGGTGCTCCTGCTATTGACCTTTCGGCCCTCTAGACTGTAGAAAACAACTGAGGCAAAGGCCTAGGTATAGTTGAAGAATTTAGGATTTTAGCTCTGGAGAAGTTCTGTTTATCCAAAGTATGGACTAATGGCAACTTCTTGGAATTGTGTTTGCTAAGGAAAACTAAAATTCTGCATGGACATTGTCATCTCAAAGGATAAACTCAGGTGAAACATAAGAGGGATAAATAGTTCCTCGTGTAGATATACATGATATATAAGATATATAAAATAGCTCTTGCCAAAACTGAGTGGAAGACTCCTGGTGACTTCAGTATTCATTGGATCAAGTCTGGAGATCTGTTGCCTGATTCTATTTAGTCTGATATTGTTGCTGCACACACACAGCATTCTGGTGAATGCAGATCAGATGCGTATACCCTTTTACTAAAGTATTTTCTGGGAAGAATTTGGCCAAAGCTTAGCACTGGCTTTCTCCTCTTGTAGGTGGAAGGTGAGGAGAAAACCCACTTACACATCAATCTTCTTTTTGCCTCAGATCAAGCAGTTCTTATTAGACGTGAGCAGTTGTCTTCATCGCAGCTAATTTCTCTGCAGGATTGATTGAGTATTCTTTTAATTGCTGGTGGGAAGCAAGAGAGCTCCCGAGTCCTACATGAAATTGCATGAACAAAGATATTGATTCCAACCCATTTATGTCTGTGATTCCCAGTAGCCCTTCAGTATTATAAGACTTAGGGCAGCCATTGGATAATCTATGTTGGTTTTGAACACTAAAAAGTCTTGTCATGCTTTGTCTTTTAAGCCCAGAAGAGGGATATTGGCACAGAAAGCGTTCCCAAAAATTGTTTTGGTTTTCAATATTTCAGTGGTGGTGATATCTGCCAGAAAAGTTCAGTGTCTGGACTTGGATTTGTTCAAGTTGTCATTCAACCTTTGTGCCAACATTTGTTAGTGTGTTTCAGATGCACTGACTGTGAGTATCTTCAGATGTAGGGGATTGAATTCCACATTTTCAGGCTGATGCTCTGCAAGGGAGTGGCTAAGGCCAGAGATTTGCTGTAGGATAAGCACCTTATATTCACAATGCCATCTGGTCAGCCTCTTTCAGAGGCTTTCAGCATTATCAGAGAAATCAGGTCACTAAGTGCCTGTGAGAGATCCTAAACTGAACATGACTTGTCTGTCTCCTTTAGCCTGACGTTATTGCAAAAATCTCTGTAGTCACAAGAAGCTGTCATTCCATGCCCAGTTTCTGTCAGAAACTCAGACTGTGTCCAGAATGATGCATAATGATCCAGTTCAAGAGCTGATTAGTCCCAGCTGGCAGTACAGCACAGATACTCACAGGTGATGATTTAAACCTTATATAGGAGGCATTCAAAAGTTCAGTGCACACACAAATGCCCGTTCAGTGGATGGTTGTGATTAACTGCCCACTAGGCACTTGTACAATCTCTTAACTATATTAACGTGCACATGCATTTCTGGTAAGTGTAGTGCAGTCAAAGCAACTTATAGATCCTGGCTAATAGGATCTCCAAGTCCAAAAGATAAACAGCAGTAGTGTTTCCCTCGTTTGACTGGCGAGATGGCACTTTAGCACTTAAGTCAGTGAAGAAAAGTGGTTTTCTGCTGGGTTCTGTGATTGTTTTTTGGTCATCAGCAATGATCCTAACCTCAGGCGGGGGAAAAGACGTTCTTGAGGCACTGTTCAGTTAGACTGTAGCCCATACAGTTTGCCTGGTCTATGAAAATCAAACCTCTTTATCCTGCTCTTAAAATCGGCTCCCAAAACTGAAGTGCACTGGAAAACGCTGTCTCTGCAAAGTGAGTTATAAAGACAAGACTTCCTGTTTGCACTGTTGCAGAGCCCTGTCACATAGTCAGTGCCAGCTGTGTGGTTTTACACACAGCTTTGGGCCTGCAAGACTGAAACCTGTTTCCATCCTGGAATTTTCCCCAAGAGGTCAGTATGCCTGGGAAGAAAGATGTTGTCCTACAAAGAGAAGTGTGAAGAGAGCATTTACAAATGCTATCAGAAAAGATGGTTGAAAACAAGATTCTGAATGAGATAATGCAGCAAGTCCCTCTTTAAAGTGTTCTTTTCAACTCACTGGCTTTCCAGTTGTTAACTTTTCATTATTTGGGAAACAGTAAATGATGACAGTTGTCACTGGGCTCTTATCTTGAAGTTGTTTGAATGTACCAAGGTTAAACAATTCATCATTATCCTTTGACTTAGTTAAATATCTACCAGTATTGCTGCTTTCTTCTGCAAAAATCTTCAGGTAAGTGGCTGATGAAAAGAGAGATTAAAAAAAAAACTGAGCTGAAGTTATGTCTAGCAAAGCACTATGTGCATGGTTGGCCTTAACCTCATAAGCTCCACCTTCGATGATCTCTGAAAAGAACTCCCCTAGATTTCCATCAATTTAAGTCAAGACTCAAGAGATTTTAAAACAGATCCTTAAGTCTGAGAAGAGAAGCCAATCTTCTCTTTGTGATGTTATTATAAATGTGCTTTGCAACTTTTCCTGTGTATTGAAAAAAAAATCTCTCTGCTTCCTTCCCCAACTTTTTTTTTCCACGCTTTCTTCTGTTCCTACGCATGTTTTTACAGTTTTTGATGCCAAGCCTTCCTTACTGGCTGTTCTCACTGACTAGAAAAGTCATCTTTTGTCTCAAGCATGATGGTCCCCCACCCATTCTTTGTCAGATCTATGTGAGATCTTATCTCAAAGATATTATTCTGCTGTCTAAATTTCCTCAAGTTATTCTCCTTGTGCTGAACTACTTTGACTCCATTATTTCTAGCGGATTTCTAGTGGATGCTAGTGGATTTCTAGCAAGGGTTCATCTAATGGTATTCATGCCATTCCTGTACTGAACAGCTGAGTTTGGGTATACATGGCAGTGAAAGGAGCATATCTATTTTTCATACATCCCCTGGTTCAACAGATCATATTAATGCCATGTAAGCAGGGTATCTTTACGGTGATGCCCATGGTATGCATGCCAGCCAGAAGATTTATGGGAAGAACACAGGCATTTCTTTGCTCTGCCTTGACAAGTCTTGTTATTTTTATCAGACACACCAAGTAAACTGTAAAACCTTAATTCATTTGTTATTCACACTCCACCTCTGAGTTATATGTACAACTTTTACAGGCAAAACAATGAACAGTACTAGTTCTTCCATAAATAACTTAGACTGTCTGTTGATAAATGTCATACTTCAGATCTGTGTCATGCTCTGAGGCACCACATCCATCAGCGATCACGCTGCTGGAGTGAATGTAGGCCACCTAAATATACCTGGATATTCTAGGGACTATTTGTTCTTTCTCTGTCCCTGTCAAAACAAAATGAGGAGAGTGATATGTATCTTCCAAAGAGGCAAGGTTACTGAATGGTAAACAGATTTTGCAGAGGCCTTTAAAAGCCTCTAAGCTAGTTAAATGGCATAGCAGGAACCTTAATTACCTAGCAGCTGTGGCAAATGTTCTCCTTTCCCCAGTTACCTACAGCACCTTTTTTGCAAACCCTATAAAATGCTCTTGGCAGACTACAACTAGGATGAGCTGTACCTGAGATGAAACAATGGGAGCGTTACTTCTTTTTTCTAGGTGCTCCTAAACCTTCTCTGCTGCCACCCAGAGTCAAGGACAATAACCATGATGAATCATGCAGGCAAGTGCCCCGAAGTGTTTGTTTTGCAGACTATAGTTTCTTTTCTGAGGGGACGACAGCACTGCCTCTTTACCTATATGGAAAAAAACCTCACTACAGTTTGGTGGGAAGCACTCTGACATCCGATTAAAAGTCACCGTGGAAATGCTAAAATTGCTAGATGCTTGGTGTCTGCTGTCTCTCTGTTTTCTTCCCACTGTCATTTCTTAATTCCTTTGGAGATAAGGACATCACAGCTGCGGTTCTCTCATGATAGTGTTGTACAAAGCTGTAGTATGGCATTAAATATATTGTGGTATGTGAAATAACAGGGCTGTCTGACCGCATAGGATAGTGTTATTCATTTTTTAAGACCACTTTGTCTAAAGGAGCCCTGGGTACATCCTGTTCATATACCATTATCTTACCGTGTTTGCTCTGCTACTTGTGTAACTTTTATTGGTTCCTGATGTGGTGCAGTGAGTCATTTCTCACAGTTTGTGCCAAGCAGAAACCCTATCAGAGGTCCAGTAAACTGGGGTCCACAGAGAATTAAAATTGTTTTTATTTAGATATATATGTGGCGTTTGGCCTTTAAAAATACTCCCCCAGCAAGAGAAGATTCTGGTCTGACTCCACTATATAAGACCATTTAAGAAGTTAGGGACAGGAAAACCTGACATTATTCTGTGCCCTATGAAATATTGACCATACATACCTCCACAGTTTGGTTTCTGTCTCTGCATGCTTAAATAATGAAGTATTTCCTCCTTCAAGGTTTGTCTTGTAACCTTACAATAACACTTCACTAGCAGTTACTGGAACAAGACTGCTGACTTCCTTCTAGCTTTTCATGGCAGTGGGAGTGAACACAAGTGAGTAGTTTTAGTGCAGCTAGACTGAGTTTTGGTTCATTTTCTTTAAAAAGCTCTCACCCTCAGATTTGGTCATGGTTTTAAAGTTCATTTTCACAGGTATGAGATTCTGTATGGATATAATTGTATACCTGCTCTTTTAGAGAGTCTTGCCATTCATTTGGAAGAGAAGCTTCTTGCTGTACTTACTGCTTTGTACGTCAAGTGTATAGGGGATACACATATGAGACAGCCCAGCTGTGGTTACAGCTGCGTTAAACTCAGGGTTGTTAGGGTGTCTGTCTTACCTGTGCTGTATGTTGCAAACACACCGTGCTCGCCTGTCTTTGCTTTCAAAGCTAAATAAGAAGTTTCCTATCACATTCAAATTTGCAAGAATAAGGAGAGTTTTAAGTCAGAAGCAGGCATAACATCTGAAAACTACATAGTCAATATAAAGCAAAGCAGGGCAGTGGAAAATAATTTAGTCTCTGTTATCTCTCTAATTTTATTTTCCTTTCTATTTTTAATTGTTAAATTGCAAATACATGTAACCATCTGAAAGTTGATTGAAATGCAACTCATGGAAACCTCACATTTATATGCTAAGCAGGCATTCTCCAGGTAGGCAGCTCTAATGTGATTGCCCTGAGGTGGAAGGGCCACCCACAATGTGGAAAGAGCCATTTATCTCTGTGCCAGCTCAGACTTTGCCCTCTCTGCTCAGACTGCCAATTCGGGTATCAGTGAGTGTCCGTGGGGATGACAGTGGCCAAATAGAGGCACCTGTTCATTGCCAGCTGTAAGCAGGCCTCCCGGGGAACCCTGAGCTCAGACTAGTGTTGCTCCAGGGGTGAGGGGCTGAGGTCTTGTTGTATTTTATGTGTTCTTTAATGCTGGCATCTGTTGCTAGCTCTAGTCTGGCCTACATTTTCTGTTTGGCATTGGGACTGGGCTCAAGAACAGCTGTCTTGGTGAGGCCCAGTATTCCCATATTCAGGGATGTAGAAATAGAAGAAGTGTAGCTCTCTGTACTGGTGGAAGCCCATTTTTTCTCAGCCATACTTGATTAAGGAAGGCTACCAGTCTCAGACTTAAACTGGGGTTTAGGGCTAAGAAAAGTAAATATGTTTGTGCCTGGGTTTTTCCAAGATCCTTGAAGGCTCAGAGCAATAAGAGGGAAGAAGCTGGTAGGGACTTGTGTGTGGTCAGTTTTTTGTCTGGCCCCTGTGCCTTGTAGGGATTTGGTTTTGTTTGGGGTATGGGTTTGTTTTGGGGGAATAGAAGACTTCAGTGGCTCAGGGTATCTCAGTGGGCTTAACAGTGCCTAAACCAGTAGCTGCACAAAGCTGTCCTGGCACCAGTACACACAAGCTGCAGTCAGAAGGGGTGAAGTCTGCAAAAGTATTCATTGCATTGTTGTAGCATCCTTCAACATTAAAACTTTTATTTTATAAAACTCAGGTTGTCCAGCAGTCTGTAGTAGGTCTTGCTAGTCGGTGACCCAAACCCAGAACTTTTTTCCTGAAAATATTGGATCTTTCCAGATATGTTTTCATACTGAATGCTATATATTACATTTCATAATAAATATCAATGTATTATATGTCATAGTAAACAGAACATCCTGGGAAAATAAATGGTTCAAGTGTGTATATTTCATTCATCTTTTATGGTTCTTGCTACTTGATATGCTGAAAATATATGAAACTAAAAGTTTCTTCTGCATAGACAGAGGGATCTTTCTATGGCTAAAACTCTTGGGACAGAATATACTGCTCTCCAGAAACCGCCTCCTTCAACTTTTTTTTCACAAAGAGAAAATATATCAAAGTCAGCCTGGATCCATGAACTGTATTAGCTTTGACGAAAGCGTATTTTCTGGGAGAAACAAAAGTACTGTCAGAGTATGACTGTGCTAAGTACGTATCTGTGCGTGCACAGACACATACTATCTAGGTTTTCAAACTCTAAGGGGATTAAGAGCTCAAATTCGTTGAAATTCAAAAGTGAGACATTTTGCTTCCTTGGAGATGCAGGCCCTAGAGATTTAGATTCCTGGGGGATGCAACCAGGGGAACAGACAGCCATTAACTTGAACAAAAACTATCACTTTTGCTAGGAAAATAGTATGTAGAAAAAAAGCTTTTTGTTAGTTCTGGACTGAGGAGGCAGGTGAAAGGACATCTGGATGCTATTTACGTTTCCTTTTGGGCATCATGCAGGTGCATTTCTGTGATTTTTATCAGTGGTTTAACGTTACTTTTGACAGTGGTGTCATGGTTAAATCTGTCACAGGGACTACATTGGTATCCATCTTCTGTATGTGTATCCCCTCCCACAGAGTTTTCAGCTTTAGATACCCATATCATGAATTTAAATGTACTAAAAATCCATTTGTTTTTCTTGGTTGCCTGCTGCAGGCTCCCCTGAGTTTTGCACTCGTGCATTGATTCGACACAGAGCCTTTACAAACACTGCTCTACCAGAATAGTCATATAGTCACATCTAAATTCTGATCTTTCAAGAGAGGGCTAGAAAAAGATGAAGATGACAAAGAGCCATCCCTTAGTTTAACTTTCTTGCTTCTGGCAGATGGTGATTTAGTGCCTTACTGGGCCAGGGTTTGCATCCGTATCGCATTTGCTAATCACCGATGAACCTAATCTTCAATAATTTGTCTAATCAAACAAATTGGAGCTTTTGCTCTGTACCATTCTCTGGCAAGTTCCACAATGGATGACGGATTTTGGCAATATTGTGTCCAAGAGTTTTGCCTTTTTGGGAGCCTTATGGTTGATTTGTTCTGCAGGCAGAGGTGTCTTACCAGCAGCACTGTAGGTCCAGGGAAATCTGAAGGTGCAGAAATGCTCTGTCCACAGCATGGGAGTATCACAGCACTGTGTCTGCAGCAAAGACTTCTCTCACACGGCCTCCTCCATCACTCATTCACCCTGCAGCTTCAGCAACTGGTGAGTAAGGTACACTATAAACATGCAGCAGGATCTAACTGGCAGCTCCCTCTGTAGGAAAAATAACAGAGAGACTGCCCAGGCCATCCCTCCCCTGTGCGCGTGAGGAAAGCTAGCCCAGGAGCACTGCCCACCTTTAGCAGGCAGGTGTTGAGAAGGAAGACTGTCTGCAGGGTCAGGTGTAGGAAACACTTGCCTCTCACAAAATCTTAGCAGATAATGATAAGACACATGGATAAATGAGGGAGCAAAATATCTCCACTGTTGCCCAGTCTGAAGCTGCTTCCTGGCTCTGTACTTGCTTTCCGTGTCTCCAGCCTGTTCTGGAGCTAGCAGTGGTTTGCCTGCCCACAGCCTAGCTGGCTGCTGCAGGACATGCAGCATTCCACCGAGTTACACGGGACCCATGCACTGATAATGGCCACGAGGTTCTGCTGTAGCAGGAATGCTCCCCACCCCTGAGAAGGCCCCGAGGGGCTGGCTGAGAGCAGCATCAGGTCGTCCTGTAGCAAGCTGCAGCAGCAGCAACTCTGTGGGAGACCTGAGTGTACCAGATGGGGTACCAGGGCTCTCCTTGCCAGCACCAGCGCCAACAGGCTCTGCCTGGAAGAAAGTGTAGCTTCTGTCATGTTTTAAAGTATCGCAATGGAGAGCTCTGTGATTAATTTCTTAGACATTTCTTTCAGGCAGGCTGTTAATTAAACCCCAGAAAACTCCATTAACACATCCTTACAGGGCAAGTGCTTTGCCTCACTCGGGTCAAGTTTAAACAGCTAAGCCACTACATAAACATCTCCTTGACTGGAAGCTAAGTAGTACCACTGATGAGGTTTCTTTTAAGCTGAAAGCTTTGTATGTGAACAACTTCCCAGGGTGACTGGGTTTTAACTCTATAATTATTGGATGATATATATTTTACAGTAGTGCAAACACCTTTTATGTGCAGAAATCAAAGCAAGCAATGAAAAAAAGCTACTTTATTAACTTGGTGGTTAAACACACTTTTTAGTATGTTGGTCAAAAATTGCCTGCTGAATGTAAAAGACACTTTCAGAAATTCATGCAGTTGAAGAATGAAATGATGAGGCCAGCTCTTGAAAACAGCATTTTGATTTCTCCATTTTTAGTATGCAATTTTGTGTACTTTTTGCTATCATAAATGTGATTATTTCCTTTAAATGAGGAACAATCACATTTATTGTTTGTTGCTAATGCTGGATTTTCTTCCTTTGTAGTTTCTTAACTACAAAAGCTAAACTACCAAAGCTAAAATAGAAAGGAAACTCTTTTAGTTCTCAAAAATAGAAGACTGGCTTAGAGAGTTAAAGACAGAGTAGAATGAAAATGGTTTTTTACTTTACCTTCTCTCTGACTTGTGCGCTTGGACAGCACAAATACAGTACTAAAAGCAGAACCTATGACAGTTCACTGGTTCCTCCAAATCTTGTCTCAGAAATGAGTCCCACAGCTCCCTGCAAAGTAATTGGTCTAATTAGGTAGTAGGAAGGAGCTTCTTTAAATTCCTCAGAAATTAAGACTTGTCATCCGCTTAACATCTTAGCATCTGTTACTGCCTCTTGCACATTTCTCCACTACATCAGTCTGAAGGACACTTTCCTGGACCTTTCAGAGAGAAAAAGAAAACAAAACAAAAACCCCATACCTTGAAACAGAGAAGAAATTGGCACTTTCTTCAGTGGGATGAAGCATGTAAGGCATTTCACCCCCTCCTTATTTCTCAGTTTGGTGCACGTTTGTCTCGGTGAGTACAATAATCAATTTGTTAAATAAAAATGCAGGAGGATACAAGCGTAACATTAAATCCTGTATTAATCCTTACTGATGTGGTAATGTTGTCGTGAAATATTTTCCTTGGCAACTGATCCCTGTGCAAATGTTACCCTCTGTGTTTGTAATTCAGGGTTTCATTTCAAAGGGGCTGTTTTGAAGCTCTAACAGTCAGTCAGTAGAATGGCAACTAATTTGTTGTTTCTTTTTTTTTTTGTTTTAACTTTGCTGTTGTCTGGCAGCAAGTAAGTAACTATTTAATTCTGGGTAATTGCTCTTGCCGTGGGCATAATTTTAAGACACTGTGTGGTTAGAATACTGGGTAAGGTACTGAGGCACTGGGAAAGTTTCAGATTTATATATGTGTAGAGTATGTGAGAGGTGTACCACCAGTGGAAGCTGAAAAGGTTAATTTTGCAATGAAGCTATCTGTGACTGAGATGTTTTAAAGAGACCCTGCTGCTTGTTTTGTTTCTATTGGTTTTGGTTTGGGTTTATTTTCCATATACTCTTCCTCTATTTGCTGCTGTGTGAATACCGGCACAGAGACAGTTAGATGTAATATTATTTAAAATACCTGTACAGATATAATTCTGAAAGTCCATTGCAGCAAATATGTAATTTACACACTCATAGTATTTCCCAAACAGCTCATGTTTACTGAAAGTCAGGTAACAAAGCCAAATAACTGCCACCTACGCAATGCTTTTATTTGGCTTCTGTTTTGTTTTAATTGCAGTTCAGGCAAATTATGCCCCCTATTTCTTTGATAATGGAGCCAGAAGCACAAATGGGAACATGGCACTTCTCAGCCTTTCGGAGGACACCCCTGTTGGTCAGTATTAAAATTAGTATGTTTAAATTGTGACACTGGACCTTCTTGCTCTTTTGATTAGCAACATGTATTTTGTTGTCGGTTGTTGTTATATACTGTGGTCTTATGTGCTTTTCTCTCAAGCTTTTAATTGGCCCAAATTTAAAATGACATATTTGAATTGTGGCTGTAATTTAAAACACAAATTTTAGCTCCCCTTTTCTTGGTCCACCAATTTTTTCACAGCATCAGAGCACAGATATTTCTGGGATCAGAAATAAATTAATGGGGGTGAGGGGCATCTGTAGATGCTTATGAGAAGAAAGCCTAGTTGTTAGTAATTTTATCAGCCTTGGTAAAAGCAAGCTGTACATTGAAAAGTAATAGAGGCATGATTTTCTTTGAACAGTTATCACATTTTTCACGTTTATGGTACAAATGTTATGGTAGAAAATGTTTCTACTCAGAGTGAAAATTGCTTTGTCCAAATAACTGATGTTTTTCAAAAGGGGTTGTTTTATTGAAAATTCAAAAATGGATACATTTTTCAGCTTTCAGCATTTTGAGGCAGGTCTATTTATGCTTCTTTTAACTGTAGTTGCATTAAGAAAAACTCAGTAGGAACAAAAAGGCTATTTATAATCAATATTTTTCATGGAGAAAGAATAATTTCTGAACATTAAAGAAAAATTTATGCAAAATCTATTACAGTGATGAACACCGCCTTTTCTTCAAACATTGTACTGAGGTTTGGTCTAGGATTTTCTCCTGTTTGTCTGTAGCTTTTACAGTCTAAATCAGAAGAGCGCTTAGCTATTGCAAACTGAGTACTATCTGTTACCTGCCTCATGCATAGAGGAAGGAGATGGCTGTGCAGAGGTTGCACCCAATCCCCTCCCAGTGCTTAGGCGGGGGGGGGATGGGGGTCTGAGAAGGATCCAGAGGGCACAGCCCCATCTGGAAGACCAACACTGCTGGCCTTGCCTTCCTAAACATGGCCAGGTTCTGCTCTGGGAAGCAGCTACCTGGTGTTTGCTCAAAGTCTTCATTTGTGGCCCAGTGGTGTCAGTGTCAGCCAAGATCCACACTGGGCATGCTAAAGGATGAGGATAGGGTGACTGGAAAGCAGTGACTTCTTCTTTGCCTGCTCAACCAGAGAAGAGGGGAAGGTGGGACATAGCATAGAGATGACGCACCTAGCCAAAGAACTTAAAAAGAGCTTGCTTATGATGCAGAAGGGATTTGCTCAAAGCTTGGTCAAGCTTAAGGTGGAAACCTCAGCTGAAGGCCAACAGTAATGTAGTGGCACTTGCAAAAGCCAGAAGCAGGTCAAGGAGCTGCAGTTTTTGCTGTGCTTCTGTCTGGATTCATGCAGAAACCACACTTGCTCATCCTTGGTGATCCAGACAGCTCTGCTGATTGTTGGAGTAAGATTAGCCAGTGGAATCACTCATCCACTGGTGTACATAAGGCTTGTAATGCCAGATAGCCACTGAATAGGACCCCACTCAGTTTGTTTGGGGTGGTGTTTGCCAACTCCACCACTCAAACCACATATAGTACAAGTTGCTTGTCATCAAACTCTCATCCCCTGGTGTGGTGCCAGACTTCAGACATTTACAGAGCATCAGCCTCTCCCTGCCACCGCTGGGAGCCTCCAGCCACCTGCATGAGGTTGGGGAGCTAAAGATGGCACAAAGCTGCAACACAGTCAGAAATGTCCTTCCTATCAAGAACACAGCACCACATGTACTCTCAGATGACAGCCCTCCATGCAGAAGCAAAGTGCAGTCATTTGCCAGCACTGAGACACAGTGCATCTGCTGTGGGGATCCAGGTAGAGGAAAACAGAGAGCATGCATGCTTCGACAGAAAAACAGGAGTGTGAGGGATCAGAGCCCGGGTTACTGTTCTTCTAACTAGCCCAAGGAAGGATTATGATAAATACATGGTGGCTTTTACATGTGCTTTTGTAACATTAGCAGCCAGATTAGGTACATAGGGGTCCCTGGAGAGTTTATAATTTGGTTGCAGCAGTGAAAAAGCTCAAGCTGCTCTGTCTTCAGTGCTGCTGTTACTCATGCCTGTTGGCTTCATCCAGAGTGTGTTTACATTGCCTGGCTTGAAATTCTAATTTACTATATAAATGTGCTTTAAAAGATGAGAGAAGAAGCTTCTGAGTTAAAGTTCCAAAGGTGCCACCAAAAGCATTTCTCTGAGGTGAAAGCCTAGAAAGTGTTGAGCTTAGGCTTTTCCAAAGGGCCTAGAGAAACTCTTGGGAAAGGGAGCTAAGACCTTACTTTTGAGAGCTGCAAATGTGGTAGCTTTGCCATGCATCTGCTAGTGCTTCTTTGGGATAATTCCCGGAAGACTTTGACTAAAAGCCTTAAGTATTGCAGGGTCCTCTCTCATGAAAGCATTTTGGGAAATTCCACTGGAATATGGCTGCTTGCGGCTTACTCAATGAAGATTGCTGTTGCTACCCCTCCCCCCCATGTTAGCACACTCACCCCTTGAAGATGCTTTGGCAGGGATTATTCAAGGGGAGGGCACAAACACTTCAGTGCTGCAGTGCTGAGTGTGTATTCAGCTTTATGCAGGGTGAAAGAACCAGTGTTCACATCAGACCACAGTCAGAGCTTTGTGCCAGCGCTCAGTGAGGGCTCACACACTGCCTGTGCTAAATGGCCCCAGTGATGGGTCTCACACCACAGAGGAGGCTGCTACTCTTCATCACTCTGCACCTATCTTCTCCAGAAGGAGGAGGAGATATCTGGTCCCCCATATCCATGTGCAGTTTCAAGCATCCACACTCCAGCAGTCATCTTTCAGTTTGAGGAGGATGATCAGTGGCAAAACAGGGGGATTAAAACTTACATATGTTTGATTCTGGCTTCACTCAGGTTTAGGTGCTGCAAATTAGGCAGGTTGCCATTAAGTCTTCACTGTGCTTACATAAAACATGGAGTTGTAGGCAAGATGCTTTTCTTGGCAGCAGCAATGCCACGGACAGCAGCTTTAATAAACGTAGAGGAATTTTACAGTCTTTGGCCTTGCTAAGATTACAAGCAGTTGGCAAAACGGTGTGTGCTAGTTATATTCCCAGGCATCTGGAGGCAAGGGACATGGAACATTTTGAGCACTGAAAGGAGATGATGGATTCTCTTTGTGACTATCGAAAGAGAAATTGCAGTGCTGAGGCTGCATGAATGCATCAAATTCAAGAAAATCACATTATCCTGCTTATATCATTCTTAACTTGACCTTCTTTTCCCTTATGCGATTTTGCTTACTTACAGATAGTTGTAATCTACCAAGTTACATACACTGTGACAGAAGCTATCGTAAAAAGAGCAAATACTATTTCTGTATGAAAGCTTTAAAGTGTCTGCTGATTCCCAGATCCCATTTATTGCTGCAGAGCATGAGACCCCTGAGGTAAGAAAGGCCAGAACAGCAGTCTTTTCCAGTGCCAGATTTAAGAAGAATGGGAAATGTTATGAACTAAAGTAGCAGTTGCAGTTTGTGTGGCTGTTTGGCAGGGTAGGTGGGAGATTAGCACTTTGCAAAGAGTTGCCTGTGTACATATAGAAAGTACATGTGCTTGTCCTAATCAAGGTCTTCAGGCACGTGTGGGATGCTATTTCGGGTTGTTTCTTTCATCTTACCTCATTAATCCCTGTAAGCCTTCGTAGTGAGGACAGAGTGGGACTGAGAAGAGCTGCAAAGCCAAGGGATTGAAGCATACTGAGAAGGCCTAAGTTCATTACTCTGTCAAAGCCCAGCCATCATCGATGCCCTAGAGATCTTTGCAATCTCATCCTTGTGGTTTTTCTTTCTTTTTTCCCCGAGTGCCAAGTGTGCACTGCCCACCATGAAAAGCCAGTTTCCAGTGGTAGTTCTTTGATCAAAGCTACAGCTGTCAGCTACCTACCAGTGCCTGAGCATTTCAGGTCCCTTCACCCTTCAAGCCTCCCTTGCTGTTCCTACTCACTCCTGGTCTCATTTCTTCCCATCATTCTTAGCTGACTGTGGAGAACCCTTTTGTCCCCTCTGGTACCCATCGTTTCTATCACCCTGATCCAGCTGAATCTCTCCATACTGGTGAGAATCCCTGCTAAAGTGTTTCCTAGTCCTTCCTTCAGCTCCCAGCAATCCCACCCTGGCACTCTGCCATCTCTCTGTATGTGGTTCTGTATTTCATCCTTCACAGACATAACAGCTGAACCCGTAAGGATTTTTTTCTACCCACCATTTCCAGCCCTCATTGCCACCAAGAGAATCTGAGGGAAAGAATTGTCACACTTTTTTTTTTTTATCCTCAAAAATGATAATTCCTTTCTGACTAGAAAGGACACAGACCTGGATGATCTATCCCAAGCTGTGCCTTGAAACCTAGAGACCCACCAACACATCACATTCAGATGGTTCCAGAAAGGCTAAAATTTTGAAGGTGCAAAAATATTCAGCTTTTTGCAGAAACTAAAGCCATCCTCCTAGGAAAACTAGAAGCTTCCAGAATAAAACTGTAAACCACAGCCTGCCTTCTGCACCACCGCAGCAGAGCTAACGCTGCACAAAATAGAGCAGCGCTGCAAAGCAGAGCGCTACACAGACATGCGCAGATGACTCAGGTGTTACAGCAGTCACTTTTGTATTTATTCTTCTAACAGAAACTGCAGATACACCTGAAAATTGCCCCCAGATGGTCTGTTCCCAGTTGGTTGCTGGGGGTGCCATGGGGACACATTGCTGTTCTGGTGGTTTGGGCCTCATGCTGAGCCATACTCTCTTGCAGCTGCAGGGCCTGTTTCGCAGCAGGCCCAAAAGCTGTGGCTTTTGGGGTGCTGATCCTGGCTGTGTCTCTGCTTTGCAGGCAGCACAGTGTGCTGGGGTGCAGGGAGGGAGCAGTACTCACCTGCCTGTGTGCAGGAAGCAGCGGTAGCTGGGAAAGGAGATGCTCTTGGTGTGTGGTCCATGTCCTCCGAGAACCTGAGCTCCCTGTTTCCTGGGGTGAGCCTGGAGTGTAAACTAGCTGTATGTAGGTTTTGTGTTAACTGTCCATCACCTTTCCTGGTGGGGAAATGGGTCTTTGGCTGAGACAGGTGCAGAGCAGGCACAGAAACCTAGCAAATACCATCTAGAAAGATGGTATTTGCTGTGACACTGGCAACAGAGGTGCCCTGTCCTGGGAGCACGGCTGTGGATGTCCCTCTCAGCATCTTGTTAACAGATGCAGCTGTAGTGGCAAAGGACAGCGGAGAACTTAGCATGAGTCCAAAATGTGCTTGGCTTGTTTGGCTTGGCAGGGAGGGGATCTGATTGCTGAGATGAGATGAGCAGAGATGAGAGCTTGTCTTCAGTGAGAGGACAAAACCAGCCCCAGAGAAAAACGGAACAAAACCAGCCTGGGTGTGAATAAATTTAAGTCAGAAATGAAGTAAAATGGAGCAATGGCATCATGGAACAGCCATTCATCTTCAGTGGCAGGAGCAAAGAGCAAATGATTTTTAATATGGAATAGGAAAACAGAGTGAAATCCTAGAATGGCTCCTGGGAAGCAGCTGTAGCAGGGAGCAGCATGCAGCAACCTGGAGCTTTTCTATCCTAGCCTGCAGTGCCATCCTTCAGGTACTCCCAGCTCTTCTGACCAGGGCCCTTACACAGCATTTGCTAACTCCTTGGGTAAAGATTCTCCAATTCCCTTATCTTTCTGACAGGGAGAGGCTGTTTACTTGGTCCTCACTGATAAGATTTTAGCTGTTTTTCTCGTTTATTTTCTTTTCAGCAAGTGGAGACAGCACACTGAGAGGAGGTTTTTAATTGGCATTAACACTGTGCTGGGAAGTGTTCTCAGGGGTGTTAATGATACAGAGAATACTGTGCAATTCAGAGAAAAAAAAAGAATTATAATGAGCTAGAGAAAGAAATTTTGATCCACAATCCAATTTAAAGTGCACACAAGTGTTCTGTGTTATGAAAAATGAAGAAGTATCAGTTTTAGCTAGGAAGCAGACAGTCCAGTGTAAATGAATCAATCATCCTTCATTACTTCCTCAGAAGCCTCAGTAATCTGAGTCTGTACCGATATCAATGTTTCTTCTCACATTCAGCAGCAAGAAAATTCCTGTTTTCCTTATAAGAAAATTCCTAGAAAATGTGGGAGAGAAATTGTGAGATTGGAAGAAGCAGCCCAGGTTCAAACATATTCACCTAAATTTTCATAGTCTGTTCTTCTTTAGCACTTGTTCTGTTCATAGTACCAGCATGGGTGGTTCAGCGCAGCCCCAGTCACAGCATTAGAGCTTGTGCCTGCTTGTTGCCTGCAGGCTCCAGTAGACTCCAGATGTAGGTGGTGATGACCATCCTGTTTCTCCACTGCACATGAGCAGAACAGCCTGAGTTGTTTATATAAAGTGGAAGGGACAGGAAAAGTGAAGAAAAAAGGACACAAAACCAGCTAGTAATAAAAACTTCTAATGGCCAAAAAAGGGCTGAAGGAAAGCACTGTATTGATAATGATGCCAGTGAAGTGCTGGCAGTCAACACCTGAATTCTCCATTTGGCCCCAGTTGTGATATTAAGACAAAACTTTTGAAAAACAAGAATAAATGCAGTCAGTGCTGGTGCTGCAGAACCTTCAACAGGCTTGAAATTGCTGTCTGTTTGTAGACAGCTATATCAAGATGCAGGTGTCCTTTCAGGACACTATATTAGCCGAGTTTATTCCTCTCCTTGCATTTCTTTGTACTTACACAGTTCAGTTCCAATGAGATAAGTGTCTCATCATACCACCCATTGTCTTTCTCTAATAATCTTAGCGGATCTCAGTTACAGATGAGTTATTTTCTACTCTGTTTTGCAGGAAAGATTCCAAGAAAAATGTGGAAAGTGTTTTGTAGTTTTGTGAACCTGTTTTGCAGATCTTGAACATTTGCTGGATGGCTGAGCCAGCTTATAACAGGGTCTGTGGTTTGAGCTTCTGTGAGCCCACTGGATTTTGCAATGTGAGCATGTTTCTGTACAAAGTCACCCAAATATTGCCCTGGTAATTATCATAAGAAAGGTTACTCATAAGTGAGCACAGATCCCACATGGCTTGGCATAATCTGTTGTTATGCAAAGACCACAGCCATGTTTTCTAAATATCACCTCTGAAGCCTGGATGTTACACGCCTGTTAAGCCCACTGATCTGTTTGCTTCACATTTTGCATGCAAAGGAATAAGGAAATGAGGAATGAAAGGTTGCATTGCAAAACTGAGGAAACATTCAAAAAGCTGACCTGTTAGTGCTGTGGGCAGGACCTTAACCAAAGCTTCACAGAATCTTATGGATCAGGTCAGTGAAAAACTCCACTGCTACTGCAGAGCGGGCAAGAGAAAAAGGTTATGACTTCTGAGTACAAAGTTAAAAATCTGGAAAACTCAGGGCCAGAGTAGACTTAAGTCAAAACGGGAGTCCTCTGGGTTCCCTTTAACAGTGTTCTTCCTTCACTTTTTGCTGTCTTTCTTAGCAAGGATCCTTGCATCATATCTTTGAGTCCCATGCACAAGCAAAACTCACTACTAACCACTGAGTCACTTGGCTGCAGTATTTCCAGTGCAGAGAACTTAGATGTAAAGCAGAGTTTCTGTTCCAAACCTCTGCAACTTGAATATCTTGGATAACATACATAAGGCACAGTGCATTGGAAGGAAACAACGACATTGGTTTGTATTTCAGGCTTATTTAACTGATATTTGTAAGGTGCTTGAAGTTCTATTTGGATGAAAATATTCATGCACAGTAAAATGACAGGCATGTAAGTTTAAAAAATATAATACCGATAAACCCTTCCCGTGTTTTGAAACCGTGGGTGTTATAACTCCCCCAGGAAGCACTTGTGATAAACAAAGTCAGGTTACTGGAAAAACTGGCACCAACTTCTCAAATGTCAAAAAATAGCAACAGCAATCTCTCCTTCCTCAGCTTGTGAAAGAAATACATTGATGAGTTTGGAGAATTTATTCATTGGCATGAGCATGAGTGGGTGTGTCAAGTAGAGAATTTAATGAGAGGGAGCTAATGAGGGGGAGTGAAGCAGGAAAGAAGTCTCTTGCCTTAATTAGTTCTGAAAGTGGAAAAGTCTGCAAATGTCCTTGTATCTCCTGGGCTTCAGAGCGGAGGTCCACTCCTGTGGGAGTGCTACTTTCCATTGCCAGATCCTTTGCCTGCTACTTCACGATTTCATTGTTTCCATAGAAAATGGGAATGGGAGGGAGGGCCTCTGGTACTGCTGAAATTGTCACCCAGTCCTGTAACAGGGCCACTTCTGACTCACCTGGGCTGAGAGTTAGTCAAGAGCTTGTCATCTATGTAAACACAATGATCTGAACAGTGTTGATCTAGGCACAGAAGCGCTCTGAACTGAGGGCAACCAGCGCAGATATACTTGGTTTAAATAGTAGCCTAAAAGCTGGCAATCAGGAGTATTGAACTGTCTTCTTATCCATATATCCTATCATATACATATCGATATATATGAGTAAGTGGGTTTGCTTCAGAAAAGCTTTGCCTGCTGCAATGTAGATGAGTTCCTGAAGAGCAGACCTATGAAATAGTGAGTGAAGTTACCACAGCAAAACACTGATACATGCAAATTTTTCAGGTACCCATATATACACTCTTAATGGAACTGATCCAGAAGGAGATCCTGTGACGTACAGCCTGGCCTATGAAGCTGGATCAAGACGCTACTTTTCTGTTGACAGGAACCTTGGAAATGTTACACTGATTGAGGAGCTTGACAGAGAGGTAGAGTGAAATGGCACGACTCCCTGTGTTCATGGAATGTCCATCCGCAGCGAATGTCCTTGATCCGAAGCTTTGAGGGACAATGCCAACTTATTTTTCCTCAAAACATGTAATATGCTTGGTAGTTCTGAGACATTATGCTTCACTCATTAGGGTTTTTTTTCAGTTGCCTTGTGCCACTGACACTATCAAATTTTTCAGCAGCTGTCTGTCCAGCTTTTTCTAAAAGAGAAGTTTACTATTTATTCCTGTCTTCTCCCAGCTGCGTTCCATAAAGCGCTTAGGGGTGGTTAAAGTCCTCTCATCCTCAGAAAGGGACTGTCCTGTCATTAGGAGGAAGTAGAGATTTGTAGTGTTCTGGGATACTTCTCTAGTTATACCACAGCCCTTCAGCCCATGTAACCATGTAGAGTAAAGGTGTTCCCAGCAACGGTGGACTAAAGGCATCCTTATTCTGGGAACACAGATGCTGAACCCTTCACTTTTCCTTCACAAGGAAGGGTACACAGTTCTTATTATACCCTTCAAAATACTGTGTACTGAAACAAAATAATTTTGAGCCAATTGTACCTTTTTATGGAGTATTTCTTGAAAAAGATGACTGATTTTCCCTAACACTTTATCGGACAACAGGGATTCCCAGACCAACCAGTTCTTGACAGTAGCCACAGAAAGTCCAAGGAGCCCCACAGCTGAAGCCTTTGAGGGGTCTTCCTAGCCTCTGCTGTGATTGCTTTGTGGTATTGTTACATTCACCTGCCTGCTGAGACACATTTAAATCTGCAGTCCCTTTTTCAATCAGGGCAAATACCATCTCTCTAACAAAGGAATTTTCTTGGATTACAGAAGGAAGATGAGATTGAAGTTATTGTCAGTATTTCAGATGGCCTGAGTACAGTGAGTATTTAATTATGCTGTAGCTTGTAAAACTGTCTGTCTCCATATGCCTCCTCCTATAAATTGCCTTACAGGGACTATCTCATTTTATCAGAAAACATAATCTCATTAGAATCTTACCTTCTCTTTCAAGAGCTACTGAACTCCCAATAACTCAAGTCTCACTCCAGCTTCTTGCTCAGATATTTGAGGATAATTACAGTGTAGTGTGAGCTGAAAGACTGACTTACTTAGTGTCCTGCAGAATTACAGCAGTTTCCTCTGAAGTTTCACTCTCAGATCGGGAGTATTCGTACCTAAGAAAGATTTTACAGGCTCTTTGGAGAAATGCATGTCATTATAGGAACTAATATTGGACACCCAAGAACTGACTGTCCCTCCATCTCCTCAGTGTTTCTCTAGCATGACATTAAGAAGATTTGCTTAGACAAAGGTGTGTGGGGGTTTCTTGTCTGCTGCTGAATAAAGCTTTGATCACATCTAATCTGAGGATTTATCTGAGGCATTGCACAAACATCCAGTCCTATTTCTACTTGGCATTTAAGGTTTATGGACATGCTGTTACAGCCAGGGTATTAGACCTGGTCTTCATCACTAGATGTGCCACAAAAGTAAGACACTTTTACTATAGACAAGACTGGATAACTCTAGAGCCCTTCCTCATCTCACACAAAGTAACTGAGATTACTGCAACAAATTTTTGGGATGTGCTGCTGTCCTACAGCCGCAACTGCCCTGGCAACCTCTGTAATTAGGAAATAGTGGGATTAAATAATGGGAAACTAAATGGGATTTCTTGTATCTTCTTTTGTGTACTCTGTTTTGGTAGTGTAGTGCAAAGATATTCTATTACAACAGACTTTTTCATTGACTTTGACTTAGTAGGCATATGAACAAGTATATGTTGAAAATCAGCTTGAGTCCTAATACGCTCTTCATATTCTACTCCAGGTATCTGAAAAAGTCAGGATCCTTGTAATGGATGCTAATGATGAGAGCCCAGAGTTCATCAATACACCTTACATAGTCCAGGTCCCAGAGGTTGGTGAAGTTACTTTGCATAATGGAAGTATATATCAATATGATGTAAAGAGGAGCTAGTATTTTTACAGTAAAATAACAAGGTGTGCAGGACTAACCTGCATTCTTTTGGTAGGGTTTGAGTAGATATTTAATATTCACTTCAAACTTAGGGAATAAGTCTGTATGTACTTAAAGTGTGCTATTCTGTGGGTAAGCTCTAAGATGTGAGTCACTGGGAGCTTTTAGACTTGACTTCAAAGGGAATGTCTCCTGTCTTAGCTGAAATTTTTTTTCATTTTTATTCCAAAAAGTGTTTCTTCCTTCTTGTTCTTCTCCAGAATCCTCCTTTTTTAATCTCTTGCCTCTTTTTCTTCTGCTTTTTGGTTCCCTCAATGCATTTATACTCTTCCTACCATTCTGCTTCCTTGCATGTTCATTTTTTGCTTCTTCTAACTTACCCTGTTTTTCACTTTTGCGTAACTCTGATAACTCTTTCTGGTCACAGAACACTCCCTCTGGCAGCAGTATTTTAAAGACTGAGGCAGTGGACAAAGACACAGGCTCTGGAGGAAGTATCACCTACTTCTTGCAGGTAAGGTATTACCTGTACCTTCAAAAGTCATCTCTCATTAACTGAGATCTCAGAAATCAGGTTACAAAAAAAAAAGATTTTGAGGATTGAGACTACTACTAGTCCATATAGGGCCAATTTCGTACTTTAAAGTTTCATTTGTATATTGCAAAATTCACCGAAACACCACTCTACTGGCAATAACCTATGCATGCAAACTTCCTACTTTTCTTTAGGCCAGTAGAAGTTTGAAATTCTAAGGAACAAAACCTTTTTTCTTTTTCCCTTTCCGCTCAACCTTTTTTCTGTTAAGCCTCCCTACCTCTCTCCATGCGATGAGCTGTGTTAACCAAAGGTTAAAATTTCACAATGAAATACAAAAAGATTAAAAAAATCTACATTGCAGGTAACTAATTTATTCTGAATAATGACAGACTTGTGGTTGGTTCATGAATTGTTCATAAACACAGAGGTGAAATTCATCAGATACATTATTCACCCAAGCCATATCATTATTCTAGTCTTTTCCCTTAGCAGATGAAATTAAAGATGAATCCCTTTGGCAGTGTTATTTCCATACCTGTAATCTCTCTCTGTTTCTTCATTTCTTTTCTTCTAGAACATCCATGCTAATAAGTTTACAATAGACCGTCACAGTGGTGTCCTGCGCATCAAAACAGGGGTCACCCTGGACTATGAGAAATCACGAACACATTTTATTGTTGTCGTAGCCAAGGTATAAAGCTTTTATCAAACTAGAGGAGGTAGGGGGTTGTATCTGAGTAGGAGTGATTAGTTCAAATACAAGTGTGACTTCAAGGGTTGCTGAAACATGAAACATAATACTGAGGCAGCAGGGTCACTCCCTCTGTAACATCTGGAGGTGTGCAGGGTAACAGGGAAAAGTGAGGAGGGAAAGATGACTGGCATGTGCTGCTGAACAACATCTGGAGGCATTTGGCATAGGGTTTCCTACATTTCACTCATGCCCCAGTGCCAGGATAGCGCGCCCCAGTGCCAGGATAGCGCACCCCACTGCAGGAAGTCACCTATGCATTTTGAGACTCGCCTAGAAATGAAGGTGGTGTACACAGTCCTAACTCCAAAAAGCTTCAGCATTTGGTCAGATGGAGTTCAGGGCTCTGCTATGAGGCCCAAAGCATGCCCTTACTTCAACAAATGCAAACCCCTGGCAGGCAGGTTGTGCAGGTCACAGTCATTAGCCACAATAAGATACAGGACACAGCTGGACCCAGTGCAGAACAAGTGACTGACTTCTCTTCTGGAAACATCTGTGGATCTTTTTTAATTTTACTTCTCTGCTGCCTTGTGGCAGGAGCTTACTCAAATCCTGCAAATATTGCTGCACATCCCTTCTTGCCACTGTCATTCTCAGCAGTGCTGCACATGTGGCTCAGCTGAGGATTCATAACAGGCATTAAAAGTTTATGGATTCTGTGAGGCCCTGTCACACAGACAGACTTGCAGGGGTGGAAAAAGGATGATTTTGCTGTTACTTATGGGGACTTTGAGTTTCTTATATTTTATGAAAAATGTACAGATCTTTCTATGTATTTATTTAGACAGGGTTCTTTTGGGGAGAAGTAACAAAATTTGGCTTAAATACTGTCTTTGGGGCAGGAAGGAGGGGGAAAAATAGTACATATTTTCAAAAAAATGGAAATTTGAGAAGTGGTACAGAAGACATGCTGAACAAGTCACACTTTTATACAGCAGCATGACTACTGACCTCCAGCTGGTGCTCTGAGACTGAGGGTGTTAAAAGCTTCTGAAATTGCAACTCATCTTTCTAATTGGCTCTGTGTACCAGTAGCACAGTGTTGATTGTAGTCAAGCCTCCAGAGACTGTTTATACACTTTGGCTATCTAACAGTTCTTGGCTGCACAGCTCCTCCGTGCCTTCACTTTATCACGTAAGAGGCTCTAGGAGACTTTGATCATGTGCACTATTTAATTTCCCTCTAGAAATGCATTAGCCTGCTACTGTGCATCGTCTTGTGTTTATGACAAGGCTATATGTAGGATGAAAAGCTGTAGACCTTAGCAACTAACTTTTTACATCAGTTTCTAACATTCTTTTTTCTCTGAAAAAAAGCCCCCAAAACCAACCCTTGAATTTCCTGTCCCCTGTGCTGTTGATAAAAGATCATGTATGACTGCATATATTGGCACAACCATTTTTAATATAAGAAATTACTTCTGAGACGCTGCAGGCTGTCTTCCTCATCAGAGAGGGAGCAGAAAAATGGAAAAGAGAAGGGAATAGAGCAGCAGAGATTAATCTGTGTATTGAGAGAGCAAAGGGATTCCTGGCACTGGGCTTCTGAAGGCTCATGAGGTGCATGCAGCTGATTTGCAGACATGTTTCAGCAGAGGGATCTGATGCTGACTTCCCTTCCAGGATGGTGGTGGGAAACTCCGGGGAGACAACAAAGTCTTTTCAGCCACAACAACAGTTACTGTCAATGTGGAGGACGTTCAGGACACTCCTCCCATGTTCATTGGGACTCCCTACTATGGATACGTTTATGAGGATACACTCGCAGTAAGTTCTGGGTTTTGCCTGTAAGAGAAGAAATGCAGTCTGTCACATCCCCTATGGTTTCTAGCACAGGCTTTCTTGGAAACTGGGACCTAAACTCTGGCTTGACTCCTAGGTGCAATGAGATGACCAAATCTCAGACTTGTTCTTATTTATATTCATTGCAAATTTGCCATGAAAGGCTTTCTGTTGCCGTTATGAAAATAAAAAAGAATTCTGCCCATTTATGTTGGTCTAAGCCCAGACAGTGGCTAAGAGCTCTTCCATAGCTGAGACCTTGGCTGAAGGTTTAAACAAGATTGCCAGCTACCTCACCCAAGCACATCATGCTAGCAGCTTTTGTGTGTTTGTGTGCTGTGTGGTTTCACAGTGCTTTGATTTAATAGTTGAATCAGTCTGGTACCAACAGCTGTTTGTGCAAGGGGTGGTGAGAATTTGTGCCCACATGCTCTAGACTCTTTCTGCTGTCCCATGGACAGGGGAGAAGCAATCCTGACACCCCAAAATGCAGGATGCTTTCTGCTCAGTGATGGCTAGACAGGCAGAATGGACCAGGAAGTCCTTCCAGGCCTAAAACCCAGCAGATGATCAAGCAAGCAGGGACATACTTAAGAGAACTACTCACAAGCAGGGACGCTGCATCTGTTGTCATGTGTCTGCTGGTTAAGATATCACTTTGTATCTGTCACGGACACAGAATCCAAGGAGTACATTGGTTGTGGCTTCACATCAGAAATGCCTAATAGCAGGTTTACTTAAAAAAATATCATAGCAAATAATTTATTATATCCACCATGGTGCTTTCAGCCACATATTCTTGAAGCTGCAAACTAATATATTTTCTTTATATCTAAGCAATGGCATGATATTGCATATGGATCAGCTTTCACCCTGATACAGAAGATTTAGTTAAAATTTTCCTCATACATAGGATGATAAATGATATCTACTAATGAAATTACCCAACACTAGACTATTGCTCTCTTTGGCAGTGTGATTACATATTGTTCAATTGATCTCCCTTTGAGTTAAGGGAAAGATGGTGTCTTTATTTTCTGCCCAGAACTCCGATGTAAACTGTAGCCCTCGTATGACTGTATACTGCAATTCAGTGCTTAGGCTGTTACGTTTCAGCAGGGCAGAGAAGTAATGCTTGTGTATTTTGCAGATGTTTGTAATGAATGATATTATGTATATTGATTTATTCTGCATAGTTGGGTATAGATCTTGAAATAACTATCAGGTGCATACAGGAGTTAGTGTTTACTATGGAAATGGGAATCAATAAATGTTAATTACATCCAGCTTGAGCTCATAACTTACACCATTATGATATTATAATGACAGAAGCACAAATCAGTCCTTTCCAGTGTGTGTTTTGCTATTAGAATGTAGTCCACAGAGAGAGAAGCATTAGCTGATTTTAGTGTTGTTTGCATGTTTGGTGTTAATTTTGTAAACTTGCTTTGTTTCTCCGGTGGAGTTCTCAGGATTTATAAGTACTCTGTCACTTTCAAAGGGACTGCACTGCATTTTGCTCAGTGGGCAGATTTTATTGCAGCTTCCAGCATAAATGATAATAAATACAGTTCTGTATTTCCAGTTGCAGAGACTCGCTCTTGTTTGAAAAATTCACACAAAGGCTGCCATGAAAATGTTGCCGTTTGTGATTAACTGACAGTTACTTTGGTGTTCCCTGGTTTTAGAGCCCCAAAAAGTAGAACTTCAGTTGAGAGGCCTAAGTTACACAGCTCATTGCCACTTGGGTTAGCATTTTAATGCTGACAGTTGTCATCGCTCTGAACTGATAGGAATAGTCACATGAGCAAATGGTCTCCAGTACGCAAGTACATATGGCCCATGGCCATATTACTTGCACAGAAAGAAAGGCAGTAAAGGCTTAGGGACAGTTAAATCATAATTTTCATCACAATTTTATGCCCTAAGTGTTCTGTAGGCCAAGTTGCTTAGTGGTCTCCCTTTGCTTTTGCAGACCTTAATTAGTTCAGATGAGTCCTCAATAGCTGCCTGTGTCTCAGCACACTGTGCAGGCATGGGTCACACAGCTACACCAGGAGCCTACAACAGCAGCTTCCAGAGGACATCTTGATAGTGACCCAAACTAAACCTTGAGTCTCAGGCTGGTTATGCTAAAGCCTCTGTCCAAGTCTGCGGCTCAAAGTATGTGTCCCTTGCCATGGCTTCCAACTGCTCCTGTGCCTAGGCAACCCCTGGGGCTGAGGCACTGTGGCCACACAGTCTGCAGCTTTTTAACATCCATGCAATTGGCACTGCACAACAGTGGGCACTGAGCAGCCCATGGGGAGCAGTGCAGTGCTCCTGCTGGTCCTCTGGTCCTCACCCAAAGCTGAGTTGGAAAAAAGGACAAACGGGGCTGGGTACTGGGCAAACTGGCACTGGTCTCTTGTAAGGCATATTGGCATGCCCGGAGGCTGACCAGGCCCTCCTGGGGTTGCTCTGCCATCCCTGTAGGCAGTGGCATGGTGCTGGCAGCTGGCTGACAAGGGCAGGTTGCACAACAGGTCCATAGCAGCAAGCAGGGGCGTCCTCACTTTGTCTGGAGGTACAGTGCAGGGATGACATCACTGGAAACAACTAAAACTATTGATATAGGAACAACAGAGTTAGTCCAAGGGGTGATCTTCCTGGGAGGTAGTCAGTTGTCTTTGCTGTGCTCCCCATACAGCACAAGCAAAAGTACCTAGTCTGCCCCTTACACCTCATTGCAGAAAAATTTACAGAAGTGTTCAATTTATTAATATGCAGTTGCAATTTCATTGCTCTTTAATCTCATCACACAGACTGTGATTTCCCATTACTTCCCAGGGCTCTGAAGTCCTTACTGTTGTTGCTCTTGATGGAGACAGAGGAAAACCTAACAGTATTCACTACAGCATTGTGAATGGTGAGTAGACTTGTCCTTTATGAAATCTGAGTATAATCCACTAAGTTTTAGTTTTCCACTCCACAGAACTATGCTTGGAGTTGGTAATTCTGGTGATTTGTTAGGCATCAGTAGCCTGCTTGTCATTTCAGAAAGCATAAAGGGAGATGAATTCATTGCTGCTGAGCATCTATAATCTGGGAGGCAAGAGAATGCATTGGGTGATGCAGGCTTGGTCTCTAGAGGGATATTTTTATTAATATTGTAATTAAAGTAGTTAAATAGTAAAACCTATGAATTCTTGGCAGAAATTATAAGTGAAGAGACACTGTCTGTACACTGCATTGGAAGAAAGTAGATGTTATCTGAAGATTAATGCTGTTCATTAGGTATTCTAAGGGTGTCTGTTACACATCTTTTAATAGCATAAATGTGAGACTCAGCTGAATTGATAATGACTTAGCTGAATTGATGATTTATTAGCTAGTGAAGTCAACAACTTAGCACAACTGAACTCCAGGATACAACTTCTTTATTTTTGTTTGGTTCCCTCTGCTTCCAAAACAAGACTTCCATGGCAACGGCGCATTCAAACTCCCAGGCGTGAGAGATACCAAATTTCATAAGGGAAATCTGAGATTTAGTTGCAGAGCTATGCAGCAAGTTCTTCGCTGTCTTAAGTGATCTAAAAATCAAGGTCTAGGGAGAACAGAGAGGGTTGCAACTGAGTTTTTGCCTTGATGCGGGATGGGATCCCTGCTGATGGTCCTTCTCCTCAATGCAAGGGAATGGATAAAAGAGTATAGGTAAAAGGAGGGTAGAAACATTGAGGAAAAAAAAGATAATAGATTGAAAATGAGGAAAGATAAAAAGAAAGGTGGAGAATGAAGAGTAAAACCAAATAAGTGTGACGAAAATATGCTAGACAAAGGAGAAATTGAGTAAGGAGAATAATCAAAGGCAGGGGAACCAGTGAAAATGTCAAAGGGAAATAGGATTAATAAGGAAAGGTATTAGATTTCCAAAGAAAATGGAGAAGGACCAAAAAGGTGGTATGGGATAAAAAAGGTAAATGATTAGGAAAGAGTGGAAAATGAAGATGGAGGCAGATGACAGATAAGTAGCATAAAATATAATGAAGAACAGTCTTTCCTCATGCACATTAACAGGGTTTTGTTAGCATGAAATGGAAGAGAGGGGAAGAGAATATGCTTTTACTGTGTAGAAAGCTGAAGAAATAAAGAACAAAATATGAGAACAGCCAATCTGCCCCTGCACTTCAGATGCTAGCATTATGTGTGACAAACCATTATCCTAATACCGGCAGGCTGGGTTATCAAAGGGCAAGAAAATACTAACAGCAAATAGGAAATTTATTCTTTATAAGCATTTTTTATCTGGGGAGTGTGGGATAATTTTAGAAAATACTCCAATCCTCTGAACATTCTGTATGAAGGAACACACATAATGCTACAATACTCTGAACATTCTGTATGAAGGAACACACATAATGCTACACACTTAAGAGTTACCAATTTCCTTGTGATAACTAGGCAATAACATGAAGTATGGTGGTTTGAAACCACTATTGACTTAAGCTTCTTCTCAATTAGGCTGTACTTTCTAGGCCAGTGTATCTTAATAATTGACCATTGTATAAGTTGGTATCTGTTCAATGTTGTATCTAGTGTACTTTAATGAAGTTGTAGTTATTGCAGGTATTAGCAAAATTATATACTATCAGATGGTTTAAAAATCAGCACTGGAATTGAGTTAGAGGGAAAGAAAAATTACTGTGCTTTCAGGTCATCATCCCTTATTTCTGAAGGCTTGATCTCCTTAATTATAAGGGCTTTCCTCTCTTACTTTCAGTGGTAGGCTCTTCTATGAAGTGTATGCTGCAACCAATACTACATGTGAGGCAGCATGTACTGGTGTCCATAGCCCCTCGGCAGAGCAGGGCAGAGCCCGCTGAGCTGCTGGCTGGTCATCTCCCTGGGCATGATGAGGAGATGGATGCGGACACTGTGATGAGGCATGCTGCCTCTCCACAAGCTAACATTTGCTTCAGCACAAATTCACCAGGTCTGAAGAGACTGCAGCCTTTTAACTGATCTTCTCTTCAGATCAATGGAAGTTAGGTCAGTGGTAGCAATGTCAGCCAGCTGCCTTGTCCTGTCTGTGTTGTACTTTGCCTCAATGCAAAACCACTGGGGTTTGCCCCATATTCTCAAAAATCCCTTTTTGTTTAGGACAGCCTTGCAAAAGGCTGAAAGCTTTCTTAACAACTGAATATCTAAAGGCAGAAGATGCTTCTCCAGAAATTCTGTCTGCAGAAAGAGTGACTGTGTCTCTTTCAGACAGATCATCAGACTTTTCACCTTAGCTAATATTGAGAAAAATGTTCTTGTTTCTCAGAGACTTAATTATCCATTCGCTAAATACAATGAGGAATGTCCATTTTTGTCTAAAACAGCATATTAAAAAAAAAGAGCATAATAGGAATGAATACCAAATTTGCATGCCTGGATGCTGAGGCTCGCAGGGAACCTGACCAGGATGGGAAATAAGAAGGTGAGGGCAGCTTCCCACAGGGCCAGAGATCCACTGAACCATTCCTAGGGGAGGAAACCCTTTTTGGCCCTTACTTGTATTTTTATCTCACTGTGACTGGGCATAGAAGTGCTTCATTTCTGAAAAGTGGCTTCAAATCTACTAATACAGATGGATACAGATATTGGCAAAGATACGGTGAATTAAATGTATGGTTGGTTGCTAAAGCTTGCTAATGCTTGCTGTTTAAAAGGAAGTGTCATATGTAAGTAGAGCATCTTGGTTTTATTGCAGGAAGTGAAAGTTCCTTTGAAATCGACAACACAACTGGAGCCATTTCTGTTGTAAAAAGCCCAAATCAGCTCAAGAAAGAAGTGTATGAACTAAAAGTTCAGGTATGTTCTGTAGCCACTTGAAGTCTGTTGGTCTTAAATGTCATGAGTAGGCATGATGGTCTAAAATAACTCAATTTAGCTGACTTTACCTGTTTTAGAAACTACCTCCCATATTTGAGAAGAGCACTGGATAGTATGAATGCAAGCAAACTGGTTTTGTTCATTGGAATATTTCATGTCTCAAATTACATCTTTTAAATGAAGACATCTTGTCCTAATTTCATCTCTGAGTCTAGAGAAATAACAACCTTTACAGGAACTGATCCTTCTGTTCCAAAAAATGACAACTAGGTTTACCTGTCTGTCCAAAATATATCCAGTTTAAGTTAATCTCACCTGGACAGCAAAACAGAATTGGAAATGACAGACTAAATCTAAAAAAAAAAAAAAAAAAGTGTAGTTTTTCTTATTCAAATATTTGCCTGAATACCTCAAGTACAGTTTTCCTCACAGAGTTTTCAAGGCTGTAGTCCCTGAAACAATGTGAAAATCAGCTACCTGTGGTACCACAGGAAACGTAAAGGTCGTCTTCCTTTTCTATTTTGTCAACACTTTAGGCAAACAATTACTTTGTCTCTATTAGATTACCTATATTGTCTTTAGAGAACTGTTTTGAACTAGGTGAGTTACTAAGCCTCCAAAATGAGGAAGAGAATTTTTTTCACTGAGGCTTTATTCGGACTAGCTTATTACTATAATCTTGTTGTAATCATCATAAACTTCAGCGTGAAATGGACTGAGATTTCTAGAGAAATATACAGCTGTGAATCTTCATACAAATTAGAGTGTTAGGGTGATTTGTACATGCAGATAATACCTGAACATGAAAGTGATGAAAGAGAGTACACCACCATTATTCTCTCTCCTGCTTGCTGCAGGCATCAGAAGTCGGTCAGGAAGGTGACATCTCAGCATACACTTTTGCCATGGTGACTATTCGGGTGGTCGACCTCAACAACCATCCACCAACGTTCTATGGAGAAAATGGTCCTCAGAACAAATTTGAACTGACCATGTATGAGCATCCCCCAGAGGGTGAAATCCTGAGGGGATTGAAGATTACAGTCAATGATTCAGATCAGGTAAATGGAAATTATGTGGACTTTTAGTATTCTTGCCCTATTTTCCCAAAGAGTAGAAAGAGCTGTCAGATGGGGAAATGTCCTTTTAGGAACTCAGTATTTCACGTGGATTCCCCAAAGCCTAGGGCAAACAAAGTAGTTGTAGGGTCCATTACCACAGAGAATTTGGACCCAGAAGTATACTTAATCTGTGATATTACTCTTATGTTGAGAAGGGTGGTGCTAAACATGCAGTCCATTTCTTGCATCATCTGAAGTGGAACAGTCGTTATGAACTTTCCCTAACTTCTAGTTACATTCAGCTGTTATCAGTGAAATGTCTGAGAATGTAATCCAATTGGCAATTTACTTAGAGTTTCCAATCATTTTAGTAATTGCACCTCAAGTACAATTTCTGCCTGTATCTTCTAAGCCCCTGATGGAAACAATATAGACCATACTCTTACACTCATTTTATTAGAATATGTTATCCTTTGACTTTTACATTACAGCCAGAGTCTGCAGTGCATGCTTTGATAAATCATTCCCAATGAAGTGATATTTATAGGTAATCTTATAAATTATGCCAACTGACAAAGACTATGTCTAAACAGATAAAGGAAAGAAGACTCCATCCATCTCAGCCTGGTGTTTAACTGACCTGTGATACCTATAGATACTATGGTAATGGTTGCTATAGGGATTCCTAAGCTAAATACTGTATGAATGGCATCCATCTGAGTTAGCCAGAGGTTAGGTAATGACAAGAGCAGAGCTTAATGCATCTGAGAAATGTATTACTAGTGGAAAGAGTGCTCTTATATAACTGTGCTCGGTATTGTACTGTTTTGACTGTATTGTACTCTATCAAACTCACCAGTTTCTTCCCCCTCCCTGCTGCTGCTCTGCAGCAAGCAGACAAATCACTGCTTTCAAAGCAGTTCTACATCTATCTTGCTATTGTTGCAGGGGATGTTGCTGCAGAAGGAAAGAAACAAAACCCATCTCTTCTATTTAGAGATAACATAGATATGTATCATATGTAGGCTGAAAAAAAACATTTAGGCTACAAGTTAGACTACAAAATAAGCAGAAAGCATTGTTAGATACACTGTATAGATTTCTCAAGAAGCTTCCGAGTACCATATAAAACATCACTCTAGGTTGGGCTGGTTTTCTTTTAAGGCATAGAATGCAAATTTTTCATTTCTGCACAAGTGAGCTATATAGAGAAGAAAGGTAAACATAAGTCTGCTTCTGTCACAGCCATTAGTGACTCTTTCTTTTGGGAGAGTGGCTGAAACAGGGGAGGAGGAGGAAGCTGTGGGCAAGGTGTGCTTTAGGCCTGCAGTTTGATGAAAATTCTGTCTTTACTTACATTACACAGAATTTTCTTTCTCAGCCCTCTTTACCCAACAGACACAGCTTAGGGGCTCTGTGCTATTCTTCCTTCAGTCATTCCTGTGTCCCATGACTGGCTGCTTGGAGACATGCATCAGCATGGCCTGCTTTGAGAAGATCTGGGTTCAGGGGACTCCACTGTCAGGAATCACTCAACTGCTGGAGAGGGGCAGTTCTCTTCCTCCCTGCCCCATGCCACTGTCCCTCCAGTCATGCACACTCCGAAGGGCAGAGGACTTTGTATTGTCAGACAGAACATTTTCCCTATCAACACTATTTTCCACAGTGCAGCAGCTCTGGCTTTCCGGTTTTTTGCTTTATTACCCAGCAAAAGAAAACCTGTTGTCATCTTTGTAGCTGCAGGGGTTTATATGACCAAGCAACGCAGACCACTGAGTTTGGATCCAAGGTCATTCTGTTTCCCTTGGGGGACTACTGCTGGCACTTTTACTCTTGACATGAGCTAGAGTTGCAGCAAAAACTGCTCATAAGAAGCCCTCCAGAGATATAGCTAAAAGTAGAGTTATCCTGTTTAGAAATTCTTCTTCTCAAGATTTGAGCTAGGGAGAGAACATGGTGCCAAGTCAGGTGATGAATCTGGTTGGCTTGCCACAGTGTAAAGATATCATAATTTGAGAAACTGATGCACCCAGAGGGCTGGTAAAGTGGATTCAACTTATTTTCCCATCTTCCCTGTAAGACAGAAATCTAAGAATCACCATTGCATCTTTTCTCTTCCATGCTCCAGTTTGATTTAAGATAATTGGTCTGGCCAGCTGGCTCTGGCTCACTCTTCCCAACTCACACACAGCTGGGGGTAACCTTTTAGATACTGCTGCTTTCCATGTCCTCTCTGGCTAGAAAATTTATCTGTATAATGGGATTTGGCTTCTCACTTCACCTGGATCTGTCAAATACATGTCAGATTTTATTCTGCACAAGTGGAGCCCCTATGTCCAAGTGTATTAACTTCCAAAAGGTCTAATGGCTGTAACTCTGGCCTAGCTTAACCCAGTCAATGTAAACCATAGCATGCCACCTCTGTTTGGAAATTGCACATCTTTGTGGTTCTTCATCATCATCCCAGGCTGTGAGCTCTTAGCACACAGGTTGAGTGTTTGAGGTGTTTGTTGTCCTGACAGGCAATCCAGTTGTCTTTCCTTGGCAGCAACCAGGAGATGGTAGGACTTGCCTGCCGATGTGCACATGATGTTGACTCTGTCACTTGCACTAGCTCACAGTGTGAGACACAAAACCCCAGGCTGCTTGCCACAAGATCCCTCTCTTAGCCAGTCCTGCTGCAGGGTTTTTCCATTCTGACTGAAAGAATAACCACGCTTGTCAATCTATTTTAGGAAAAGCTATGTCCATTTTGTGACAATGGCCATAGGGATTATATAACTAAGCTTCTTAGCAGTCTCTTGCCCAGGGAATGGAGAGCAGAGAGCTCTAACCAGTAAGACTCATTTTGATATTATACAGTGTGAAGAAACAGAGCCAGTGTAGGCTTTAAGAAATGCGTCATTCACTGAAAACAATGCTGTATCTGCTTTTATTCACAGGGAGCCAATGCTAAATTCAACCTCCGTCTTGTTGGACCTGGTGGCATCTTCCGAGTGGTTCCTCAAACAGTCCTGAATGAGGCCCAGGTTACAATAATAGTGGAAAATTCTGCTGCTATTGACTATGAGAAATTCAAGGTGTTAACCTTCAAGGTACTTCCACTTTTGAGGTCCTCTCATCCTCTGTATATCATATGTATATAATGGCTTATGTATCTGATGGGATTTAGCTTCTTAACCCACACAGAGCTGTCTGATGCATTGTCAGTGAGAATATATTCCATGTGAGGGAAACTCATTTCAGCCTCTGGTTCATCAGCTTCCAAAGTTTTAATGGATTCATGTGAGCTTATTTAGTCTAGTCAGTGAAAAATGTTGAGTGTTATCTCTCTGTGGAGACTGCACATGTTAGTGGCTCTGAGTAATTCTAGACTGAACCCTAAGGGTGTTATTTCTGCTCTTAAAACGATGAATGCACAGGATGAAATCCTATTTCTTTGGGGTCAGAACTTTACCTGCTTGGTCCTAAGTAATTTGGTTCATGATCATGCTTTTAAATGTTGGCAGGCTGAAGATCCCAGCAGACAGAAAGACAATTACCAAAAATTGCTGACTTTGTCAGAGTGTATCTGTCTATATGGCATTTTGCAGTCTGACCTGAATCTACCTCACCCATGCTCTAACCTAGCCGTACAAGAACCAGCTTTGATCTTAAAGTGGACCTTTGCATTATCACCTTCCCAAATGGATTCGTTAACTCATTAAAATGTAATTAAGTAGTTTGGTTTTGTGTCAACTGCATGTGAACATGAGGATAGATGGCTCAGTTCTGACTACAAAGAATGGCGTAGACAATCCCTGAAATCATTAAAACAAAAATGCCCACACTATCTAGCAGAGTATTAACATATGCTAGTTTTGACTTTGTACAAAATGGTGGGGTTTGCATAGCCCAGAAGCTAACTTCTTGGATTTTTTTCTCACCCTTGCTATATGATTTGCTTTGTGTCCTTACCAAGTTCTATTGCAGTATGCTTCATGTCTCCTCTTGTAGTGTTCCTTAGTCATTTTGAGCTTCATAGGTTATAGATGCTACAAAACCATGAGGCACCATTGTTGGATTAAAATGGAAGATTCTGAAAGGGCTATAAAGTGCTACTGACACTAGTTACTAATAGTGACTGTACATTTATTCAGGTTAAACTATTGAGAGACCAATAAAGAAGTTATCCATGGCCTTCTCATGGATACTAATAGAAATCAAAGTAGTTCATGTGATTGCCATGAGCACTGAAAGAATTAATTACAAAAAAAAAATAAAATATATATATATGTGTGTGTTTTTTGCTTAAGCAATTATTTACTTTTGCTTTTTTTAATATTTTTGGATGATTTTTTTTCTGCTGGAGAAAGACCGTAAGGCTTTGCTGAAAATGTGGAGCCTTTGTCTAGATTCTAAATGAAGAAGGTGCAACTATATGACATGGTAGTAATATATGGCAGCAAATAATTTATAAAGAACTCCCTGCTGTCTCCATTTCCGTGAAAAGTCCAAATCACTTCCTACCCAGTTTTAGTTGCCAAGTAGTCATTCTGGAATTTTGATGAAATAGATTCTTATTTCTATACAACATGTATCCCACAGCAATTTTGAGAAGCTATTTTCTGGGGGTTTTGTTTGTTATTGAACAGTAAAATGCCAGAGAGGAGTTAATTTGACTGGGAGATGCACTGAAAACTTACCTCAATAAAAGACTAGTAGAGAAAATCTATCTTCCATTAAGGGCTGCCTCTTAAACATAATTAGTTAGGACCTCCTTCATTTTCAGCTGCCCAAGAGCTAGAGTGGGTTTCCCAAGGTATAGCAGCTGTTGTAATTTGTACCCCTCCAGCTTGGCCTTTCAGATCTCAAGTCCCTCTGCCAAAGGGGACATATTGTTGTCCCAGCTTGTCGGGGGCTTCCTGCTCTGTGGTATCTGCTCTTCCCTGCATCAATTAGCTGTGCATTAAGGGGCAATGTGAGAAACCATCCTGCTAACCCAGCACTGCCATCCCTCAGCTGAGGGATGCAATAGGCATGCACTGGTGTTAAGTTCTGCTGATGGCCAGCCAGAGCATCCATGCTGCTGTCTTCTCCCTATTCCTGGTCTTGCTGTATGTGGTTGCCTCCCTTTTCAGATGAGCGGAGTTATGAGAATGTGTTATTCCAGAGTCCTCTGTTTGCCCTCAAATACAGTGAGGTAATTCAAAGTCCCTGTGGGTATGTGATAACATCCTAATCAGCATGAGGCAGTGAGGGTACAGTTTGCCAGAAGTCTGGTGGCAGGAGTCCTCACAAACTTTGTGAAATGGGATTCTGCTGTACATGTCTCATTCCTGACCATCCTGCATTTTGGGTTGCTTCCAAACATCTCAAAGTACCAGTTGTCCCATCTCTTTACCTTGTTTATTGCCCTGACTTCTTTCCTGATGAAGAATGTATGCATCCTCCGCAAAGGATAATGATCCAGTTTAAGTGGTTATTCAAAATTATTCTGTGCTTATGTTTCCCTAGATTCTAGGGACTGCCCAGGGATGGGTGTTTGCTTGCGTCTGTTATGGCTTTTCAGCTGTGCTCGTTAGTTACGATCAACCACATCTGTCACATGAAGTCTACTATATATACACAGGTTTGATGTGCTTTTTCCACAGCTGATTGCCTATTGCAAGCATGCAGAAATGGGCCTAGGCAGCATACTGATATAGCTCATCATGTCTTTGGTTTTGAGCCATCCAAGCTAAAAAGCACCAACACGCCATGGGCAGTGGAAGGAAGCTCCTTTAAGAAATAATAATAGCTGTTTTGTAGTAATTCCCTGGTTTTCTCTTCCTAGCTTCTTGCAATAGAGGTGAACACACCGGAGAAATTCAGCTCAACAGCTGATGTAGTGATACGCCTGCTGGATACCAATGACAATGTCCCAAAATTCTCTTCTGACTACTACATTGCTAGGATCCCTGAGAACTCCCCAGGGGGCTCAAACGTAGTTGCTGTTACAGTAAGTTTCATTCATCTCTTAAGAAATTCTGTCTTTTCTAGGTGTCTGTGGAGACAGTACCTTAAAAACAAGGGACAGAAACAAGTAACAAAACTTACCCGCCACTCAGCTTCCAGATCCTTTCCAGAATAAACAAAAAAACCCACTCTGAAAAAATAAACTCTTAGGCAAACATTTTTCAGAATCACAAATTTACTTTGGTTTTTAGTTAAAGACCATCTGCTTTTAAGGCAAATCACATGGCCCGTGAGTATTAAGAAAGCCCCAGTCAAATCAGTGTCCAGCAGGAAGATTCAGTTATGATTAAGTGGAATTGGAGTTACTGGATTTGCTTGCTTAAGCATGAGTAAAAAGAAAACAACATGATTGCTAGTCAGTATTACTCTTCTAGTGAGAGGAATCTGGCTGCTAAATGTATAATTAGACAGTTAATGAAGGCAAGAATATAACATTAAAACACTTAGAGCATGGAAACATCCTCTCACAGTAGGAAAAACATGCCTATGGATTTTCCAGTGTCCCACATTTTCATATAAAGAAAGTCAGGGTATTACATGGACCACATGTGCTGGAGAAGCATTTCCAGCCATTGATGTGAGCTGTGTCTCTTTAATGCAGCTGCTAGGACTGGAAACAGACCTCATGCCACAAAGCTGAGAAAGCAGCTGGCCATCTGGGGCTCAGTGGGTGATGCAAGTCACCTTGCAGAGGCCTCATGGATGGGTAAGAATGATGGAGGCAAGTTGCCAGAGATCTGCAGCAAATGCTGACTGCAAGTAAGAAAGAAAGAGTCAGAATAATAAAGTACTGAAGTCAAATTTTAGGGATGGAAGAACAAAAGAAGAAGTGGAACATAAACAGTACAGAAAGTTTTATTAGAAGAAAACAGCTTTCTGTTTTCTGCAGAAAACGGAATCCCAAACATCACTATCTCTGCAGCAAGAGGTCTTAGAAATACCAGGTGAACAACAGAAAAAAAAAAAAAAAAGAAGGTTGCAAAACAATGGAATTACCCATTCTGAGCCAAGGTACACAGGTCATTGTAGCTGGCAAGTCCATAGAAAATTTACTGTCATGTGCTGTCAACACGTCCTCAGAGCTACCAGAGAAGTACGAGCTTCTGGAAATAGCTGTTACCAAATCAATAGGTTTCCTAATCCTGAGCTAAGAAAGGAAGCCAGCAAGACTCTGGAGCAAAGGTATCATCTGGGGTAGTATCTGCATTACTGAAAATCACACAGGCACAAGAGTGATTAAAATATAAAAGACCCTGAAACATTGTGTGTGAGTTGAAGCACTTGTTATGCATTAAATTGAATCAATTAAACAAACAAAGGCTTAAAAAATACTCTATATAAAGCAAATAATTTTGTCTGGAGAATATACATTAATATTTAACTGATAATTAGGAAGGTTTGAGAGTGGGCAGTTTGGTTGTTTTTTGTTTTTTTTTTTTGTTTGTCATTAAGATTAGCTCCATCTCTATTAAAAGGAAGGATGTGTTAAATGTCAATAGATAGAGCCATCTAGTGGCTTTCTCCCTGCTAGAGCTTCTGGGCACCAGACTGGGCAGGAGACAGGCGGCATCTTAACAGTTTCCCGGAAAGACCAGTGACGTTTCCTTGTGTTATATTTTGCGTACTTGTTTTATGTGGTTTCCCCCTACAAATGTGATGACAAAAAGAGTGAAAAGCGTTTGGGTTTTTTATATGGCCTGTTTTTAAAAGAAAAATTAAACATTTCTCTTTTGCAATTTAGTAGAGGTTGATTCTCTTATTTCCTTTTATTAAGGCTACAGATCCAGATTCAGGGCTTTGGGGAGAAGTCAAGTACTCCATCTACGGAACAGGAGCAGATCTGTAAGTAAGGAAAAAAAAAAAAAGAAAACTACATACCCTCTAAACAGAGTTTTAAAATATTTCCTTTTTTTTTTAAAAAAAGAACAAACTCATTCTTGACCTGCTCATTTCCAAGGACATTTATGCCATGTTCTTTGTGAGTTCTGTGAAAACAACAACAGAAAACCTAGTGCGATCATTAAACATCTGCTTCATGAACTCATGGAATTTTACCCACAAGCCCCCAAAGAGACATAAGGCAGCTAAAGTACCAGTACAGAGGATCTGTTTAATCACCATTTAAAAAACACTTAGAGAGGAAGAGGAGGTTTTGGTCTAGTTGTGAAAAGTCAGTTCTGGAGGACAAAAAAATGTTTCTCTTTCCTCTTTACTTTCCATGCAGTTGTATAGATAGTTTAGTTTTAACTCTTGTCAACATAAATCAAAGAAGACACAACTTTCACAAATATAAACTTCAGCTTTGGAGGCCAGCTGCATTGAGTGCTCAGAGGATTTTATGTATTTAAACCTTATAGTCCTGTATCAGTGAAGAAAGAAATCTGTTGTTTACTTGATTTTGTAATGATGCCTAGCTCCCTCTCCCTGTTTTGGGGAACAGTGACAGGTAAGAACATTCTGAACCTGAAACACTGGTTTCTGCCACACTGCCTCTATCCCAGCAGTTGCCCTGGCCCATTTGCTGCCATGGCTAGTATCACTGGCCATCACAGTTATTGCTTCTGGAACTTGCAGCTCCAGGATATAGCTCATGCGCAGAACGAGCTATATCTGTTTTTCTCTGTACATTATCCACCTGTAATTAAAGCTGAACTCTTCCTGTTAAGGTGAAAGCCTTTTAGGAGGCAAAATCAAAGTCCAAAATACAAGATGATAAGGGCGAACCTCTTCTGTAGCCAGAAGAATACACATACAGGAGCATTTCCTTGATGGATTGTTTTGAGCTCTTCACTAAATCCTGAAGCTAGCTGCTAACTGCATAGAGGCAAGTAGGCAAAGGTCATGTCATACAGGCAGACCTTTCAGGTTTAGAATATAGCAGCTGGTGCAAAGAAGCTTATGAAGGTTGTTGACTAAGGATTTAGAAAAAGATGTGAGTGCAACTTTATTCTGATTGGAATTATGGGAATTCTCAGACTCACTGTTCTTCTGTGAAGAAATTAAGAGTGAATACTTTTTTTCTTCCTTCCTAAGTATGATTTTTTTTCCTTGTGCCAGAATGGCATGTCTCTGTAAAGCTGGATTGACTGCCTGGTCCTGGGACCTCCAGATCTGCTGAACACACAAGTTTGGTGCAGATGTAAGAGTTTCAACTAGATGCATGATTTTTTCTGTCTCAGGGGTTTCATCAGTGGATATGTAGTTGATTTGGCAAAAGATGAGTTGCATTGGGGTGAGAAGAATCATGTTAACTGTTGAAGATAAAACCATTATGCTTGTAATCCTACATCTAAGCTCTCAGTGGGAGTAGGGTACTCTGCTGCAATGCCTTCACGTTTCTGTGCTTCTATTCTTCCACTAAAATGTGGGTGATGAGAATCCTCTCTGCATGGTTATCCTGGGCTGTGTACTAAGGAGGCACTTGTTATGGGCACTGTCTCCCACCAAGAGTTTGCACAGATCTTTTGAATTCTATGTCTTGGCTTTCATCAAGACTTGTATTTGTATTTAATAGGGTAATGAAAACAATTGAAGGGTCTGGATTATTAAGTACCCTTTTTACAGTCACTCTCAATTGTGCTCACAGTTGAAATACAGAAAATATTTTGTTATCCTGTACATTAATTAAAGGGTATATAAAACCCTTTATCTATTAAAAACCCTACCACTTGGAACCTACACTGGCAGCCCATTTTAAAAAGACACTCTGTTAGTATCTTCTCTATAAATCCAAGATCTTGGTTGACGCTTTTGACAGTGTCTCGGTAATTACAAATGTGTAGAATCAAACTTGCTACAGATAAATCTGAACACCCACTCCATCCCAGTGCCAGTCTATGGAAAAAGTCATTACTTTTGGATAACATAATTAGCCCCACACTTTGGGGGATTCGAGAGCAGCCATTTTTCTTACTCATTTCGAGAAGTGAAGAGCTAAAATATGATATGCAGCATACTTCCTTTAGCTATTAAGGTGATATCAATCAATCTTAATTTATGCAGGATACGATCTAATATACTGTACTTATAAAAGAGGAAAAAAAAAAAAAGGCAGTTCCTTAGTGTTTTAACACTAAGAAATCATTCTAGGGGAAGACCATCACGCTGTGTATTTACTGAGGACAAAAACTTTGACAGAAAATGCACCTAAAATGGCTAATGCTCAGTAGATCGAAAAACACCAGAAACTGATAATTCTCTGGATTTAAGCCTCAAGGAACTAGCCAGACAGGAGTTAGATGAAGAGTAACCAGTCTTTCGGCATAACATTTCAATGTTTAAAGCCCACCTTTGCCCCAGGCTGTAAACACACATTAAGTGACCAAAAGAACCAAAAATCTTTGCATGCTTCTTTTGCAGGTTCCTAATCCACCCATCAACGGGTATAATTTATACCCAGCCCTGGGCTGTATTAGATGCTGAAGTGAACTCAAAGTATAATTTCTATGTGAAGGCAGAGGACACAGATGGGAAATACAGCTTGGCTGAAGTGTTTATCACTGTGCTAGATGTCAATGACCACTCTCCAGAGTTCAATGAAAACATCCAGGAAAAGACAATGATCATTGGGTCACCAGTGAAGATAGAGGTGAGAGACAACACTGTGTGTCACAAAGCAGAGTGCTTGGCAAAGCCTGAGCTCTGGTGTTTATTGTTAAGGAAATATGATGAATGTCTGAAAGCTGGCTTTTCCTGGGACTTTATTTTTCACATTCATGTATATGTAACAAGTGGATTAAAGCATGGAATGATAGTATTTACAGACTGCTGAGAGGGAGAAATAAATTCTGTAAGCAAAAGATACAGTTCTGTTACAGTATTTGAATCACCCACTGGTGGCGGACTCTGGATTATCCAGTGATCATAAGAAACCCAAATAAGATGACTGAATGAAAGTACAGGGTTTTGAATACTTAACCTTCCTGCCACATCTTTGTGCCTAACCACACAGCTTCTTTCCCTTCGCTTTGCAGAATCATATTTGTTGATCCAGTGTGGAAAAGGGGGCTAAAAAATTGCAATAACAATTCACAGGCAAAGGAGCAGAACATCTAGCGTTCCACAGATTTGATTGCATATAGTGAAGATTACACAACACTGAATGTTAGCAGAAAAAATACCACAGCACAAAAATTAGGGCGGCTATAGTTTATAGTGTGGATCTAATGCCATTGTTCCCTACTACTTCGCATTTGTCCCCATGCTGTGCAAGAAACTCCCCAGCAGTGGACCATTTGCATTCTACAAATAGGTTACGGTTCAGTTTTTCCTCTGATATTGTTTAATCTCAAAAATCACTTATACAAAAATAACTCTAGTCCTGCTGTTTTTCACTAGAAAATGTAGCATAGCTGATACCAGAAGAGGGGAAATTGTTTCCAAGATGAAAGAAAAACAGCCCAGTCACAGCATGGGTATTATCAGAAATGAATGCTCAGAAACTCTGAGTTTTGTCTTCAGGCAAAGATACAAACAATAACATCTCTATTCTTTATGCTTCTCCTACCAGGCTATAGATCAAGATGCAGAAGAACCCAACAACATTGTGGATTATTCCATCATGCAAGCAGATCCAGCCAATGTGTTTGATATAGACCAAAGCACTGGGGAAATCAAACTGAAATCCTATATCCGTTCCCTGGACATCATCCACAATATCACAAAGAACAAAGACTGCATATGGTCAGTGGTGGTGCAGGCCAAAGATCGAGGCTCCCCATCCTTCAGTACCACAGCAGTCCTGAAGATTGATATCACAGAGGAGGTAAGCAAATGTTATTTTAAAAAATCCTTATGTGAGAGGCGCCAGAGTAGACAGTTTGCTTTATTCCTGACAGTACTTTAAAAATACTTCAGGAGTTGAAATCTAGCCAAAATGTTGCCAGCCATTCCTTCTCCTTCCTTGCTAGCTCTGTTTTGTAGTGTTTATAGAGCCTTGTGGTGAAGCTGGATTCTACAGCCACAAGCATAAAAGACATTTTGATCAGAGAAATTGCAAAACTCCAAAGGTGGGAGCATAATATGGTTAGGACATTAATTTCTTGCATCTGATTTTTAGAGATAGACGCAAATAAAACACTACAGACTCCTGAGGTAAAGGTAAATCCTGACTGCTAAATTTCTGCACTTTTTTTATGTAATTCAACAGAAGAAAAACAATCTTTTTCCCTACAAAAAGTGAGTAGAAAGTAGCTGTGGCCAGAGTGAAAGGTATCAGACCAGTTTTGCATGTCAACATGAGTGACAAAGTGAGAAAACTATTATAGAAATGCTTTAAAGTACATAGAATTTTAGATGTGAGTTTAATAATTGCAGTATTATCAGCAGACAAAACGAGAACTGTCTAAAAGATTGCCCACATAGATTGAGAGTTTCCTGTTAGTCCAACTTTTACATCAACAAAAGAACAAGCAGCACATGCTTGCATGATTCTTATTTATTGTAACTGTCTTGCCATGCCTTTAAGTAGGTACCAGCAGGGTGGAAATGGGCTTTAAAGTAGATGAGAAACACACCATTAGCCTGACAATCTCTGGACCACACACATACTGGGCAAAGATGCAAATCTCTTCCTGCAGACAGCAGCTAGCCTTCTCTTTGGTCAAAGTGCACCTACTGCTCCTTTATCTGTTACAGTCTGTTTTCTCCATACCCTCTTGTTCCACTGATACTCCTTATCAGGTGCATTTATATGATACTTCTTGTACATAGTTCAGAGCCTGATGGAAGTTAAAAGCTGTCTTCAGAGAACACTTGTTGCGCATTGGCAAGATAAACTTAGCAGCACAGGAATAACCCTCAGTCTCTGTTGTGAGCACCTGTCCTGTCAGAACTGCCAGTGACTTCGGTCTGTCCTAGCAGAGGGGGTACCTGCTTCTTGGGGCTGGCCAGATCTGCTGCAGGCTCCTTGGAAACTGCTGTGCAGCATTGCTGAGGCTCATGATGGGCAGAGCATGCTGCTTCAAGGCCATGACACGTGGAACTGGGGGGCTGCACAGGCTGGGTTTCTGTGATCACTCTAGAGATTTAGCCATTCTTACTGATATAAAGGAAATAAACTGCTTAACACTGTGATTTCCCATGGAAACCAGATGTTTTGGTGGTTTTTATATATCAAATAAGAATTTCTACCTGCAGTCAACAGTGGGAGCTCCAGCCCTCCCTGCCTTGCTTCCAGGCTTCTCACAGGGTGCACATTCCAGGAGTGTGTGGTACTAGGTGGCCACAGGCACTGTCCCCACTCTTGGCCCTCAGTATTTGGTCTCCAGTTTTCCTTCCTCTCCTGATGAGCTGGTGACTCCTCCATTAGTATGTAGGGCTAAGGCACAGGGTTGAGGGATGTCAGGGGGATGGAGGGTACACTGTACCCCCTCTGCTGGGGTAGAAGATCTGTCCCTAAACCAGTTGATGAAAGACATCTGGAAGGAAAACAAGAGCAGCTTATTTCCTGGATTTCCCTCTTGTGCTTCAACCACATCAGCATTTGTCTTTTACAAATTTTCCTCTCTGCTTCCTTTTCTCCCCCTCCAGGGGCACAGATTTGGCACAAAGTGAGGGATAAATTCTAAAGGGGAAGCAGAGAAGGCAGTGAGACATGTATTCCTCTCAGACAGTTTTTCTTCCTCTTCGTCCCATGCTCAATGAAAAATCCCGACACAGAGTCCGAGATAGCAACAGTATCTCCTTTCTTCACTTGCGTAGGTCTCTTCAGCAGGGTCTGCACTATTGATCTGATGTTGCATCCTCCATAAGATTTTGTACATTTCTCCAGTAATTCTTCCATTGCTTGCAATGATTTGTGTTGATTTTTTGTTTGTTTGTTTTCATCAAAAAGCATCACATCTTGCAAAACCCACTCTCAAATTTCAGCTTGTATGTGAGTGAGAGGTAATGCAGTATCAGCGTACACAACCTTTGGTCCCTCTCTGTGTCCCAGAGACCGTGCAATCACTGCTAACGCATTTTGAAGAGTCTCTCAGTATAGGAACATTGTGTACTCTCCAGTTTTCTCTCTGAGGCTGTTAAAAATGTATATTTCATCCCTCTGATCTCCAGCTGTAAAAAGTCTCTTTCAGTTAGCTGTTTGGTGGGCATTTATGTATTACTGATTTTGGATAAGGACGACATTCTTGAATGCATCCTCTAGAGGTTTCCTGCAGTGTTAATCACACTAAGTAATTAAACAGGCATATTTTCTGATTAACATTTACCATTGCAATTAGCGCAGGGCTGTGCCCTTTGAGATAGATGCTTAGTGGCTAAGTTCAGCAGTATTGCACATCAAAAAGACCTTTTGCTCTTGGAATAATACAGTGATAGAAAAATCCAGAGGCCTTTTAATTTAACTGAGTCTGGGTTTATGGAAATTGGTATTGAGTGGCGATTGTTAATCTATCCTGTCTCAACCAAATATGAAACGTGCTGAAGAAGACACTGCTTTTTCACCCTCATGTCTCACTCAGAAATCTATTCCTGCTACCTGAGATTTTCATGGAATGCTGATTCCCACTCCTGATCCTGAAGGTTGGCCTGATGAGGAGATCCCTCTGCCTCTTTATGGCTCCACTGAGATTCTGCAAATATATGGGGGTGTTTATTTACACCTTTTAATGGACTGAGGCTTAAATCCACATTTAGACAGCATAATCTCCAGTCCTTAATAGCTTTGGCCCCTCATTTAGTCTTCTAAATGTAGCTGGTGAGTCTCAGTTTTAGATTATCCTAACTGAAAGGTTCAACAAATACTATCTGTGAATTAATGTGGAGATCTCCTTGTCTCTCATATTAACTCTGCAACTGTGGTTGCTGATGGCACTAAATATCCTTTACCACAGTTGCAGAGCAGTTAGCCTCTTCTTTCTGCAGTTACATGGACCTTGAAAACAGTTGTTCAGAGAAGGTTGGTTCAATTTGAGAAGTCTTGCTGGCATTTGTATTGCAAAGTGATGTAAATGCAGCCTTCATACACAGTCACAGCACTGCTCTTTGGGATAAGCACTGAAGGGGGCAGCTTGTGTTCTACCTCAGATCAGGAGTTACTTCTGAAGAAAATCTCCTTATCAGCCCACATTACTGTGGGATGGCTCATATCTCAGATAGCTCCAAGTGCACAAACTGTATTCCTTTCAGATGAAAATGTGTCTGTGAAGCACACCAACTGTGTTTTGGTGGTAGCAAGCAGTCCATCCCTGCAACCAGGCTAGAGCAAAAGTCCAGAAATGCTTATTATGTAGAAATAGGCTCCACACAACCAGCTGGTTGTTGCACAAATCCAATTGCTCAAGTCAACACAGCCTGAGTTGTTTATAATCTGTGATAGCTTGGGCTCTTAACAGCTTCACCTACTTAGACTTCTAAATACAGCTGATGAGCCTTAGCTGCTCTTGTGGTTGAACAGCTCAACCACACACTCCTGTTGTGTCCGACTTCCGGATACATCAACCACTTGCTCTGTTTACTGCAACCCATGCATTATGAAAGGCCCTTGAGAAGCTGCCAGGAGGTGTGCATCTCTGCACACTGCAAACTGTTGTGGCAGGAAAGAGAAAAGCAAAGGAAATTAGTTACCATTTTGGTAGCAAAGGTGGACGTGGGCATCCTCTCTGGAAAATATAACAACATAAGAAAGGCATGAACATGCTAAAACAAGTCCAGAGGAAGGCCACAGAGGTGATCAGAGGACTGGAGCATCTTGCCCATGAACACAGGCTGAGAGAGTTGAGGTTGCTCAGCCTGAAGAAGAGAAGGTTCCAGGGAGACCTTGGAGCAGATTCCAGTGCCTAAAGGGAGCCTACAGGAAATCTGGAGAGGGACTTTTTACAAGAGCGTGTAGTGACAGGACAAGGGAAACAGGTTCAAACTGCAAGAGGGGAGATTTAGCTATTAGGAAGAAATTCTTCATTGTGAGAATGGTGAGGCACTGGAATATGTTGCCCAGAGAAGCTGTGGCTGCCCCATTCCTTGAAGTGTTCAAGCCCAGGTGAGATGGGGCTTTGAGCAACCTGGTCTAGTAGATGGTGTCCCTCTCCATGGCAGGGGATTGGAATTGGATGATCTTTAAGGTTCTTTCCAACCCAAACCTATCGCTACTTAAATAATGGGAAAACTCTTTGCACAGCAAAATGATGAAAATTGCTCACTACATGTAAGTTTATATGGTCCATGAATTCCAACAGCATTTCTTCACCCATTTCTGTTTGACAACAGGAAATATTCAGGGTAGGAAAAGAGCGGGCTTGGATAATGTGTTTGAGGTAGGTTATGAAAATACAGAAGTGAAGGCAATGGGGGTATTTATTAATGCATTTACATTCCCTGAGTTTAGGGGTGTGATTTAAATAGTGTTCCTGTGTAATACCTGACAAGGTAATCTGAAACATTCTGGGGGATGCTCTTAGTTGTCTTCCTCCACATACTGGGGAGAATGGGGAGATAAGCATCCTAGTTTAGACTGATACAGGGAAATCCATGCGATCTCACTTTAACTGACTAAAAGGCAGAGGTTCAAGACCAAGCTAGTCACAAAGCTCTCTTTATACTCGCTGTCTTTTGGATCTGTATTAGCATGCGGTGACTGCTACTTTGGACGTGTCATTTTCTTCCCGTTGACTAAAAAGCTGGCAGCTTAGACAACCAACTAAAATGCAGATAACCTGTTATTAGAAATGGGAAGTTTGGGTGATTATTCCCTCCCGAAGTCTAGGACAGAGGATTGGGGCATGATGAGTAGCCCTGTCTCTCCACAGGTGCACATAGCTTTATGACCAGCTATTTGTTAGATGAACCTGCTTGTGAATGTGCCATTTCTCAGGATCTCCTGGCCTTCCACAACACTACTCTCTGTCCAGATACAATTGCAGGTGCTTGTACTTATTATGAACTTCTCTTGGAAATGTAGTCCAGGGTGGACTACTGTGCCATGAATAAAGGTGAAATATGTACCATATTGTTACCCTCTATTCTCTGATCAACCAGGTGTTTAGAAGTGCCTCCTAACTTCAGATAGTGCGTCTGGACTCAGTTCAGTGTCATTACAACTGTCTCTTCTCCTGTGCCTAGTTCAACATTTAGCTCCCTTTACATTATATGCTCTCTGTCCTGTATGCATTTCACCTTAGTTCCCTAGCTGTACTTATAATAGATATTGCCCTCCTTCAAATATAACTATGTGAGGGCTGACCATTTCTCTTATTTTTGATGTTTCCAGATCAAGTCCAGGGTAAGATCCTATATTTTAGGCCTCAAGAAGCGTCCATGGACAATATTTGGAATTTGCATGAGTGGCGTCCTTTCTACCATTTCTGTAACAATGGTGATCTCCACCATCATGTACTGGAAAAGTGTGAAAAGATCCAAGCTCCACCCACAGGGCAAAATCCGCAAAATTATACGGGGACCTCCGAGACGCACAGTGTGCTAAGCTGCAAAGTGAACTGGCCATTCATTTGTCCTTAATATGCCATATGTAGCTTATGTTATTGCTTATTTCTTTTATTTCTAAAAACAAAGCTCTTTCTTTAACTCTGCTCATCTCCCCTACCTCAAAGAGTTTTGTTATGTCTGTAAAAGAGTACTTGAAAACAGAATGGAGCACATACTTGCTAACTACTCTTTTGTACACAGTAATTTTATGAAGTGAGGTTTTCTCATAATCTTTTCAATGCCATGCTCAGTAATAGTCCTATAAACTGCACACCATATCACCTGCAATTGTTGTTGAAAGTTCATTTTCTACTCATAAACTTCTGTTTGGGTTCAACACTATTATTCCTAGGAAATTAATTCTGAAATGTAGTACAACAATACAGCTGCAGATCCTGGAGCCAATTATCTTCTTCCTCAGTTCTTTCAAATTAAACAAACACTATGGTGACATGCAGGAATCCATCCTAATTTGGCAGTAGTACTCCTGTAAGCTTTCACGTCTGATGGTCATTCATCTCAGAATGCTGTAATGCTAGCTCAGTGTCCTGCTCCATCTAAAGTCTCCAAACCTGGGCTGGCTCTTTGACTCTCATTTTTTTTTAGAGACAACTTCCATTAGTTAGCCCTGCTTGTTACATATTTTGGACAAATGAAATTTCTGGGTCACTGTCTGTCCCATAGAGTAAGTCATGTGTTTTCTCTGTACTCTTTTACAGACTCTTCACAAAGGGCCTATGGCCGCCTTTTTGATGCAAACTAAAGATAACCCCATGAAAGCCTTAGGAGTGCTAGCTGGTGTCATGGGCATAATGGTGCTGATAACTATCATGATCTCTACTGCCATGTTCTGGCGCAACAAGCGGTCCAACAAAATCATGCCGGTAAGACGGATCATAAAAAAGAGACAGACCCCACAGCCCCGGACAATGAGGATGGAATGGCTGAAATTCAAGAGGCCCAGCAACACTGCAGAGAAGTTTGTTGTTGAGGATGATGCCAAAGATCTGCACAACGAGAACAGCAACAACAACATCCAGGTTGCCCCTGTGCCGCCGACCGCTCCCTTGCCTCCGCCGCCCCCCACTGTGGCTCCCAGGGGTGATGCCTCAGGGTGGCGAGTGCCAACTGTGTCTGGCTCCCTCACTCCCAAGTTTATAAACAAGCAGGTGAAGAAGAGAGGTCATGGCAGTGCCCACAGTGCCCTTGTGTCAGAGCTCAAAATGAGGTTTGAGAAGAGGAACGCAGCTATGGGTGAGCCCCACATCTAGGTGCTCTTGGCAGCCCCCAGTGACTGCAGATTGTGGCTGTGCGTGGATATATTTACGTGCTGTGGTTTTCCCTGTGTCTGTCAGCATTCCATGAGCTGAGAGCAGCTTTGTGCTGGAATAGACACCCCTAACCTTCTGCAAGTATTACATGCTACAGAGTCACCCCACCTATAGCATAGCTGCGGTCATTGTCCAGTTGCAGCTGCAGTTCTTTTAGCTTGTGTCCCAGTGCTGGTCCTTCCCAACAGCTGTCTGAACAGGGTACTGAGTAGCTTCACGCCAGCCACAGTTTCCCCAAGTGAACAGGGATTCAGGTTGCCCCCATTTTGGTGGTTCCTACGCAGAGTCCAAGTTTTCAAACAAGGAATTCTGCAGCCAAGGCCCTGGAGGATGCCAATTCTGACCTGGACTTGTAGGTGTGTCTGAGGTGTCCAAAAACCCATCATGTTCAATCCCAGACTCACTTTTGAAGACACTGGCCTGGCTGTAGTGCCAGCACTTGACTTGATGTTCAGGTCCACAGCAGTGACACTGCACGCTGCAAGGTATAGCGTAGCTGGTACCTGCTGTCCTCAGAGTGCAACACACTTTGCAACAGCTGGCAGAGCAACGTGCTCATGGCCTGAGTACCTTCATCCCCAAAAGGTAAGCAGACAGACTTGGAGAAGGTCATAATTTTCCTGCAGCTTATGATGGGTTTTGCCAGAGTACATTGACATGATGCTGTGCTTTGCTTCTGCTCTGAACTTGCGGACAGGAGGGCCACCTCAGCCTTCCCTAAACCAGCTGGTGCAAGATTGGAGCACAGAAGTTCAATAGCAGCATTTGCTCAATACTGCCTCCTTCTGACACCATGTCCCCCAAGGAGGGGAAGCCCATGAGGAGAAGGACATGATTAAAGCAGCAGGGAAGACAAGGGAAAACAAAGATTAAAATGATAAATGAAAAATTTAGACAAGTGCTGGAAAGTCACATGTCGGTCAGGGAAGTGTGTGGAAACATCATTTGATTTTGTACACTGCTAACAGGAGGTGTTGAGGAATATATTTCACCACCTCTCCTGGCTTGCTCAGGGACTGGTGAGTGCAAAGAAGGTTTCTGGTTTTGCCTGTCAGTATTTTTGTGAATTATGCAACCATCAGGAGGGGGAATGCAAGGGGTGGGGAACAGCTGACACTTTTTTTGCCTATTACATGACAGTAAAAAGGCACCAAAGGCAGAACACTTTTTCACTGCATCTTTTTTCACTGGATGCAGTTTCCCCCTCCTGTTTGTTTCTGAGGGCATGCTTTTCAGCTGGGACTGTTTCCTATCCCTCTGGGAAAAAGCAGTGTGTGCCAGGCTGCCTGGGAAAGCACACTGCACCTCTGCCTGTGCCCTTGCCCTGCAAGGCAGCTGTGCTGTCATGGACTGACACTGTGAAAGTCAAGATGGGGAGCAAACCCTATAGGACAGAACACTGTTAATTCAAGGGGTTCCTGAGACTCTTCTCCAGCTCTAGCAGACGTGGTCCTCAGGGATTCTTCTCCTGTCATCCCATCAGCTGGTCTAATTTCCTTTCTCTGCATCAGGACTTCATCAGCTTGGGGGATACCTGGTTGAATATAAAGCTCCCTAGATACAGGGAAAATGCTGCATTTTTTAACCTCAGTCCAATACATCTAGAAGTCAGAGGGTGACCATAGCTCATGTCACCTCTGGGCTGAGCAAGGAGCTGTATCCCAGTGGTGCAGCAAGGTCTCAACAGGGGGCTGTGCCATCAGTGCTTCTCCCCTGTCATGTCTCTCATTTCCATCACTTTTCTTACTTATCCCTTCTCCTGGGGCTTCATGGCATGAGGGCCAGGCTCTGGCGTTGTGTGTGGTCACCTTGTTCTCCGGCTATGGGTGGAGGTAGGGGATGTGCAGCCACTGGGCACATTCCCACTGCCCTGCGCAAGCATGTGTGTTCTGCTGGTTGTGTCTCCACCAGGTTGTGCAGTATTTCCCAAGGTATCAAAAGTCTGTGATTTATTACCCATACTACTGTTTTCCCAGTGTTGTGTTGAAGCCAGTATTCAGTGTTTGTTCTCCAATGAGGAAAGCCTATAAAAACCATTCAGTTAAGTGAGATTTATTAGCTGTTATAGTCTTACAGTCTTAGAGATTGTATTTAAGAGAGAATAAAGATGTTTTATTACTATGTTGTGAGACTTTTCTCCAGTTACTCTGTATTTCAACTTCAGGGTGGGGGTTTTTTATAAATAAATAAATTATTAAAAAAAACCCAACCTGCAAAAGGTGCTTCTGTGCATAACATGCTTCTGCTGGCAGTGAGGCCTTGCTATTGCTTGGTATTGACCACATGGGTGCAGGCAACCAGAGGTCTTTCTAGGATAGCAAAATGGGCTCTTTTGCAGGCCATGAGTAAGAAGACGGGCTGTGTGGATTTTGGACAGCACTAGCCCGGAAGGAGAGGAGGTGAGAAGCAGGATGCTGTAAGGCACAGAGGACAGGCAAGGTCACAGATGAGTCCCTGGCCAAACGCCCATTGCACTCTGCAGCCCACTGCAGCACAGCCCCAGGGTCAGGAAGGCTCCCTGTGAGGCAACAGGTTTGTCTGATGCCAGAGCTCACTGGGTATGCAATTTGTTGTGAACTTTGCACAAGTGGCGATGGGTTGTTTTGTCTTTCCTTGGCTGTTCCCTCACTGTGATTCAGTGGCTCTCTCTGTGGTCTCTCTCCACAGTTTGATGTTGTGTTCCTCCATGGTGACTTGGGTGGGAGAAGGCCTGTCATTACAGGCACTGGTTTGTTTTTCACTCACCCCTCGCACACAAGGGGTGATGGACCTCAACCAGCATCATCTCTTGCCTGTCCCTGTATGCACCAAGTCCCCAGGGGTTTCTCCAGGACAAGGTCATCTCCCTTGCTTGGCAGGCTGCTGCTGCTCCTTCCTCACTGCTCCATACCCCCTGTGGTGTGCTGCAACTGCCAGGCTCCCTCCATCCCTGCAGCCGAACCTCAGACCCCCTTGGCATCCAGGATTTTTGCAGTTTGTAACTGTAAAAGGCTAAAAATGAAGCAGAGGACATCTGCATATTCTGAAAATCCATCACGTTTATTACTTTGACAACAAAAGATTGACAAGACTAGGAAGTTGCTTGAAGTATAACACTGAGAGTCAGCACTGACAAAACAGGTCTCTGCTCAAAAGCTGTGCAGTAGCTTACAGCAGAAGGAGTGCTGGGGGAGGAAACACAGGGCCTGAGGAGGGTTAGCATGGAAAACACAGAAAAACCAAACTACAACTAGAAAGCCAAACTGCCACGCAGCGAAGCTCACATTAGGCTTTATCTCTGCTTACCGCTGAGGTTCCTGCTCTATTTTTTATCTTTTTGAAGAGGTCAAATATTTAAAAAGCGCTGTGGGTCTGCTGGCCACGTGCTTTTGTTGTGCTGGAAAGCACGAGCCCAAAACCAAAAAATAATAAGTCACACATCTTCAGACCCCCAAGAAATAAAGCATGAGCTGCTCCACGAGCCGGGGGCTGGTTGCTTTTACATGTGCATCTGGGGGTTTTTGCCTCTAGAAGGAGTCAAGCTTTGGTTTCAAAGCAGCAGGGTGGGCAGGCAGCACATCTGCATTTGGGGAAGGTGCCTCGCTCCCAACCCTGGCTCCAATCACTGTCTCTGCCCCACGCCAATTGTCCTGCCAGCCCAATCCAAGCCAAGCATCCCCATCACCTCCCATATCACCCTACAGCCACAGTGCCATCTTTTCTCCAAGTGAATTAAAACAGCTCCATCATGTTGACTCAGTCTTCCCCCCACTACTTTTTATTGCTGGTTATGACCACAGACCTGCCCTGGCTCTCTGTCCCTGTTTCCATGAGGCAGAACCTGGCACAGGGCAGGGCTGTGAATGAATCTCTTCATCCATGCTCAAGCTGGGAAAAATAGAGCAAAGAGAGCCTGTGTGAGAACAAGGGGAGACCTTTGGCATTTTGCCGCATGCACTGTTATTGGTTTGGTCGGGGTTTTTTGTTAATGCTGTGTTTGTTTTCGTGCAGTGCTCCATGACAGTGCTGCAGAGGCAGACCTGGGCTGTGGGCTTACAGCCACAAACCTTTAGCGCCCCTGTTCTCAGCACTTCCCAAGCCTGCTGCAGTTCCAGTGGTGTGCCCAACCATGCCCTGAGTCCTTGCAGCACGGAGCCTCCTTTGCACAGTCCCTCAAACAAACCAGCACGTGCTGTGGATTGAGGTCACCTCTAAAAGGTGCCACTGCAGACCGGCAGGGCGGGCACGGCTGGGCTAGTAGAGGTCAGCGCTGTTCCTGTGGGGTGGCCGGGTCTTGCCAGGCTCGTCACGGGCTTGGGGCCGCCCGGTGCTGCGGCCGCCCTCAGGGAGACAGAGCCCATCCTCGCTGCCAGCGGGCAGGCTGTCCAGAGTGCTCTCCTTGCTGCCCGCAGCCTGGGCCTGGCCCCCGCGGCGGCGGCGGGGGCACATGCTGGGGCAGCGGGCCAGGCAGCCAGGGCGGGCCTCGGCAGTGCAAGCGTACATGCCAGCGGGCACAGCCAGCACCATGGCGCAGACGATGACCACGATGTGGATGAGCTTCTCACGTTGCTCCAGCTGGCTGATGTCGCTGCCCGTGACGAAGACGACGCACTGGCCCTTGCGAGGTGCCTGATTGCGTACAGCCACACACACTTCGTACTTGGTGGCAGGCAGCAGGTCGGTCACCGAGTAGGTGTTGATACCGGGGCCAATGTAGATGGCGTCCTTCTGTGCTGCATCATAGCGGCCCACCAGGAGGGTGTACCAGGTCTCCCCTGGCTCGGCTGCTGCTGCTGCCACTGCAAACCACTCCAGGGTGATGCCATAGACTGTCTGCTTGGCGATGCGCACTTCTACGTGGGCTCCCGACTCAGCTGGGCCAATGGGGGCCCAGTCCGGGGTGGTGGTGGTTGTGGATGCCCACGGGGACCGCACATGGAGATTGATGGCCACTGAGGTGTTGCCCAAGAAGTTAGCAGCTGTGCAGGTGTAGTTGCCAGCATCTGCTGGCCGTGCTGCTGGGATCAGCAGCTCTGAGCGCACAATGTCCTCACTGATGGGCTCTGTGGACACTGCAGGCAAAAGGGAGCTGTGTTAGCATGCAGAAACGTCTTGAGGTAGCCCCAGGACCACTCTAATGCGGGATGGGTGCCAGGAGGCCAGGCAGAACCTGCACTGCCCCAGGGGAAGAGGAATAGGGGTCACAGGAGAGTGCCAAACCCCGCAGAGCTTGTCAGCAAAGCATTTTCCAGGCATAAAGGCAATAAATGCACTTGGACACCTAAGGATGGGAGACAGGGAGTATGGCTACCCCAACGTGAACAGCTGGAGAGGCTGCTGTGAGCAGAGGCCAAGCCACCTGTATTCCATCTGCCATCAATGTCCTCAGGTCACGGCAAGCCAGGGAGAGCCACTGAGGTGCAGCAGGCACCACTGCATTTTGGACGCATGTTCCATCCTCTATTTGGATTTGAGTGTAGAAAAATGTCAGTCTCAAGAGGCTTGGGCCAAAAAGAGGTGTGTGAAACCACGCATCGTTGGTCTGGAAGTGAGATGCTGCTTTAAGAACAGTATGAAACACCCTGTTGTCTACTCAAACAGGGACACATGGCTGTGCTTGGAAAAGCCTGTATGTAATTAATTTAACATGTGCTTGCAGAAAGATGCACAAGTGCTACAATGTTGCAATTAAAGCAAATATCAGCCCAGGATTAAGGGCTAATGCCATTTTATTTAGCTAGCTGGCTTATTAGGAACCCACGTGCATTATTAGCTGATCTGATGAAAATAGCAACTTGCCCTACTGAAGGCTCTTAGTAAGAATAAATGTGAGGGAAGCCTTGTAAGACCGAAGCTGGATAAGGGGGAAGAGGAAAAGGCCTCATATTACAAACACCTCAGTAAAGAATATAAATAAACAAAGCTTATGGAGAATGACAACCTCTCTTTTGGTTATAGAGCATGAATGAACACAGACAGGCAACAAGTCTGCATGGTTTTGTGGTTTATGTGGGTATTTCTTGAGAAAACATGGGAGTAGCGTAGAAACATACAAGTGTAGGTGTGTGCGTGCTCCTACAAACATACATATGTACATACAAATATATACTGTGTGCATATATATGTAATATATCATATATAGCGTAAATTAGATTTGTGTCTAGATAACTACAGATTTATTATAAAGTGTGACTATATTAATAGCTCTTAATATCATGTGTGGTGATGAAAGAGCCACTGCTAAAAATCCACACGTAGAATCATAGAATGGTTTGAGTTGGAAAGGACCTTAAAGCTCATCCAGTTCCAACTCCCTGCCATGGGCAGGGACAGCTCCCACTAGATCAAGGCCCTTGAACATTGCCAGGGATGGGCATCCACAGCTTCTCTGGGCAGCCTGTTCCCAGTGCCTCACCACCCTCACAGTAAAGAACTTCTTCCTTGTATCTAACCCTAAACTTCCCCTGTTTAAGCTTGGACGCATTGCCCCTTGTACTATTGCTACAGTCCCTGATGAAGAGTCCCTCCCCAGCATCTTTGTAGGTCCCCCTTCAGATATTAGAAGGCTGCTGAGGTTTCCACACAATCTTTTTTTCTCCAGGCTAATTTACATAAAATAATTGTGTAAAAATGAGCCTCTGCTCCTTTCATCTTTGATTGATATCCTGGGTGAAGCAGCTGTTCTCATGCTGGTCAGGCACACTTAGACATGCAGTATGATTATTTGGATTACTGCCACCACAATAACTGTGATGCTCTGAAGGGTTGGAGAGCTGGTGTGGTCACTGTGGTGGCCTGAAGACCTATGCAAGTAGAATAGCAGAACATCATTTTTTAATTAAAAAAAAAAATGAAAGAAGAAAATGCTTTGCTTACCATTAAATGCCCTTAAAAGTTTGAGTGAATAGGTCCACCAGACAGCTGGGGCAGGGCTGGCTTGCACAAAGCAGGTCAGGGTGACGTTCAGCCCCACTGGGACTGTCAGGTTTGTGTCAAGGGCTGAGGTCAGGGGCTTCATGCAGCTGTTGAGCTCCACTTCATAAAAAAACTTCCCTGCCCTGAATTTCGGACTTGAGCAAGTTAAATAGGAATTCATGAGAATAATAGGTGGGCCAACTGATTTGATAAACTGGACAAATCCCCGCAGGCGGCAGTCACAAATCCAGGGGTTGTCATGAAGAGCCAGGACAGCGTTGGAAATATCTTCTATGTGCCCCTCTCCCTTCTGGCTTCTCTGATAGACCGGCCAGCTGTAGAAGACATCCCTGGATATGACAGTAAGCTGATTTGAGGATAGATCTAAATAGGTCAGGTTAGGCAGATAGCGGAGCGCATGTTCTGGAAGGACATCCAGCCGGTTGTGCTTCAGATCCAGGATTTTCAGAGCTGGGGTGTCTTGAAATGCTGTCCATGGCACAGAACTTAATTTGTTTCCTTGCAAGCGCAGCTCCTTCAGAGCTGGCAGATATTCCAGGCTCTTGATGTGCATCACTGTGATGTTGTTAAAATTGAGCCAGAGATACTCCAAGGCACTAACATTCTCAAAAGAACCACGAGGTAATTCTGTTAGGTGAGAATTTTCTATTCTAATTTTCCGGATGTCCTGAGGGATGTTTGCAGGGATCTGCCTCAGCAGTGCAGACATACAAAGCAAACTCCTAAGGAGGAAACCAGAAAATTCTCCAGGTCATACACCATGTTCATGGCTAACAAACCGGTTCCCTTTATGGGTCTACAGGCACTTGAGTAATTAAAAGGTATTGTATACAGGGCATGCATAAGCCATACATCCTTCCTTCTCTGGGTCTTACACCCATTTTCCCACAAAGAATACAATTAAGACATAAAAATTGCTATGTATGCAGCTACGTATCTCAGGGAAATAAAAGGAATCCCATTCTATGCTGAAGCTAGTACTATTCAAGTATTAGAGCAGGCACAACATGAGGCCATCAGTTTGCTTTTGGTGCTCACATCATCAGCAAATATATATTGGAACTCTCCAAGCTGCTTCACGGGTGCCACAACTAGGGTAACTAGCCTTACCTTCCAAAGCTGTCTTGAGAACAAGAGCATCCTGTGATACAAGATGAAACAGACAAGTTTATCTCATGGAAGGCCAGAAGAAGAAGAAAAATATGACAAATGGGGTCCATATTCTCCTTTAAGAAAGCAGTGTGCAGGGTTTGCACCAAACATGCCAACAGCCTCCAAGAAGCAAATCCTATTAGCTGTAATCTTCCTTGACGCAGAAATAAATCCTGCTGGGGACCCATCCCTAAAGAAGACATGTAGTATGGTTCATAGCCTGTGTCAAAGTGCTAAAAATCACCCCCGGGACCACCCCTGGCATTTATTCTCCATGTCTCAAAATCTGTAGGGATTTTGAGACATGTTTATTATGTTGGCAATATGAATATGGAAACAAAACCACTTCTGTTCCCAAACACTCACAAGTAGTTAACCAGGCCTAGTTACCTTTTTTTATTTTTCCCTAAGGGGTCTGACTCAATCTCCAATATTTTAATGACATTTGTTAAGGCAAGAAAAAAAAACGAAACAAAACACAGTAAAGGCCAGACTTCACAGCTGTGATTTGCCAGTGCATAGTGTCGTATTTCACACTCCATCAGGCCACAAACTCTGTCCCATAACTCTGTGGAGTATGCACTTTTGCACATGGTGAGTGCGAAAAGTACTCCCTAAATTCAGTTACTCTGTCGTAGAAACATAAGTATGACAGTATTTTTCCTCCAAAACAACTTCCCCCCCTGAACTATCATCTCCATTCTTACACATTGGTGATGAAAACAGCAATATAGTTTTTGCCACCCTGTGGACTTCTCTAAGTGGTATCTTGGAAATTAATCTCTATTATATAAACATAAAATTTCAGTGCTATTCTCTGTTTCGCTGTAAGATGTGCTGATTGCCTTTTGGTCAGCTTGAAAAACCCAGTCTAAATAATTCTAGGGACTTGAAGTAACCAAATTTATCTTCTTTATATCCAAAACACCGTGGTTTAGTTGTAATTTCCAAGCAGCACTGTGTTCTCCTGGAGCCATCTAGTGTGTATGGGCTTTATTACAGCCTGCAGAAGGCAGCGCGCTGCCAGAAAAGGGCTTAACCTCCCTTCCAGTACGTGTGAAGCTGGGTCACCAATCAAGATCAGTCTGAACCTGCTTAACCTCTAACCTATGGGACCAGGATAGAAAAATATTTATAGTGTGACGGCTTATACCTATACATGGCTGTCGGGGGGTGTGCAATAGCAAAGTCTGCCAAAGACAAGGATTGCTTCTGCAGCTTTTAAATTGACAGGTGTTTTGATTTCAAGGCAAATCAGCAAAATGAACTGGTAGGGAAACAGCTGGGAACTGCTGCAGTGCTTCCCCATTTCCTCCCCTGTACAAGCAGCAGGCCATGAGTAGCAGGCCTGTTGGGCTGTTGATGCTCACTGTGCTCAACATCTAACCATAAGATTATGGGATCTTTTATTTATTTCTTTTTTTAAACTAACTGAAGTGTTGCTTATTTGCTCATGGTGCAAAAACCTACTTGGCTTGCAGGGAAGGTGCCTCCTTTGCCACATTCACCTCCGTCCTCCATGGCCTGCAGGTAGGGTCTTAAAATATAAGCTAAAAATCCTCAAAGAAACCCCTTTCAATTATTAACAACAGGTTTGTATATGGAGTAAAAACTACTGGTTAGTTCCCCATTCTTCAATGTACGTCTATGGGGAAATTACAAGTGAGTAATGCCTAATTTCCTGGGATGCAGCAAATAAAATTTTATCCAGGATTCTCGGTTAGAAATGTACTGATTTAAATAAAACCGCTGATTAACAGGGAAAACAGACGAATTGCAGTTGTTTTCTTTCTCCCACATCAGCTGTCCTCTCAGTTCCACCTGTCTTCCTCAAGACTGAAACATGGCCTTTCAAAGAGTGGTGTCAGTCAGTGCGATGGGCCAATCCTCCAGCTGTTTTCAGGATGATACTTATTTGCTGTTGAGAGGCCATTTCTCTAGACAGTCCCGGACCCCAAGTGTACTTAGAAGATTCACTAATAACCTGATAAACTAATGGTGAATTACGCAACAAAATTAGATGAATTAGTAGGTACGGAGACTACCTACTCTTGGGGGGAAGAGGGAGAAGGAAAGGAAACAAAGTTAAAGTAAGAAAATCCCCCAGACAGTGTTAACCACAGCCATCATGTTTATGTTCCATAGTGGAGTGTGATTTTGATGCCTTTTTAATTCAGCCCAGTTTATGCTTGCCTGTAAATTTGATGGTAGCTTTTGTGACAGCAGATGTCCACTCAGTTCAGCTGCTCTTTAATGTCATGTGGCATCCTGGCCAAAGCCAAAATGCAGAACAAGCTGGTTAAAACCCAAGCTGTCAAAATAAACCTCCATAGTGACATTGCTGCTAATCCACGGGAAGTGGAGTTTAAGAGACTGCACTGATTGCCAAAGGAAATGTTAAAAGTTTGCCTCTTGTGTGCTCCGAGCAATGGTGAGGGAGTTTTGAACTCCATCTTGAAACCACAACCACACACAGGTCTGTAAGAAATCAAGTCCAGGTGTTAGAAGTCTCTGCTGAGAAGGACGTAAGAGTTGAAGGGTTCATCTGGGTATTACAGGTATGGCACATATAACACCAAATAGGAGAGGCTTGAAAAAGCCCCTTTGAAAGAGAAGGTGACTTGAAAAGAGGTAACTAAGCCTTTTCTTCACAAGCGTTCAACAACAGCAGCTGTACAAACTTGCTAGCCTTTCCATAATGTTTTTTGAGTAACCCAATGTTCCTAGAAGGTTCCCATGGGACACTGCAGCTCCAGACCCACAGCAGCAAGTCCCACAGAGAGCCGCAAAGGGGCACAGTCCACTCTCTTTCACCCTCTGGAGGAAAGGAAAGGCTTCAACTCTCACTTAGGGCAGGAGCAGAGTCTGTATCCCATGCCAAAACCAGGAGCTAAGGGCCCAAAAACTTCTGTGGGGTGTGACTGTAATCACAGCGGCCCCATATCAGTACCAGTAGCCCCTGGCTCTTTGGAAACATGGGCATCACTCCATGCTCGCTGCTACCTCTGAGAAGCTCCTGGTGCTGCTCTCTGGGGTGTATACACTTATTTCTGAGTGGCTGGAACCTTTGCTGGCAATTGTTAAGTTTTTCTGTTTTAATTTTGAGTAACAGGAAAATAAAATGTGGGACAATTCTCTTGCTCTGGTTTGGGAAAAAAATTATATCTTCTGTTCATGAACTTTAAAGCTGGTGAAGCTCCCACTAAGCCACAGTGCTGTAGCACCAACTATTTATTAAACACATCCTGAAACTTTTCAGATATTCCCAGAGCATTTCTGACATTGAGAGACTTTGATGTCAGCTTCTTCAGGAGCTTTTTAACCTTTAGGTTTTCATTTTACCACTGGAATACTTTCAAAGTCTTAATTCTTCAATGTCCATTCATTTTTAAAATTTATTTTTTTTAAATATCTTTTATAATGTTTTATTGTCATTCTTGACACATTTGGATGGTGGTGTTTGGTTTTTTTTTTCTCATGAATTTATATATATGTTTATGCACATTTTTGTGTCTTTCATTTTTTAAATCATTTAAAGACCTTTTAGTCTATTCTTTCTGGGAACATTGAAATAAATGTGAAAATGACCACACTCGTGCAATTATAGCCTTCCAGCAAGCTTAACTCATACTGTGCAATTAAGACGTTTGTCAGCCTGAACATTATTTTGTGGAATTTTTATGCATATGTGACATTAAAAATATTTGAAGAGACTTTATAATTCAAAGCAAATATGAGCCTTTGTCTGGATTTAGCCACCAGATAATCTGGAAACTTTTTAGCACATTTTGCAAAACATATTTCAAAGCCTCAACATGTTTTTTTAATTTCTTCTTGTAATTTGCCTACTTGCAGTAGTCCTCTTTAATCATTCTGGGCACATTATCTCATTTATATTCTGCTCAGTTCCCTCATTTTCATAGCTGCTTTTCTCCAGATCTTTTTAATAAAGAAAAAAAAATCATAGCAATTTTTCAGTAGTGTTCACAGCTATTTGGATCAAATTTTAAAACACGTTTACCTTATTTTTAAAACCTTGTCCTTAATTTTGCACTTCTTCACTACTCTGAAGTCCAAAATAAGTATGAAAAGATACTGTGGAAGGAGAAGCTTGTCTGTCTTTGAACCCATCGAGGAGTGGCTCATGCTGTTACAAAGTGCTCAGCCCAGAAGGTCAATGCAGGTCTCCTGCCTAACACAGGTGGGCTGTTACTTTATTCCTAAGTATAACTGAAGTGGTCCAACACTCACGTTCTTTCATATTTTATATTTTAAAATGAGTTACCATAAAAGTAGGGAGCATTGTACTTGAAGAGGCTTGCTTCACAGTGTCAAAATATTTGAAATAGACCCCAGAAAATAACAAATTTGTTAAAAGAGATCAAATTTGACACAAAGAGATCATTAAGAGAGGAAACATTTTGCAAGCAAAAAGAAAGCCAAACAGAACAAAGTGTAAAAACAAACAAACAAACAAGACCCCCAACATTTGAAATGCTACTTATACAGTAATTCCAAAAGATATTTAGATTTTCATTTCAGTTCTTGCAGCATATATCTGTCCAAGGATTGATTTTAACCAAGTAAGAAATTGTTTCCAGAGATGAATATTCTCCTTGCCAGAACTCTGCAGCAGCTTCATTCACATGACTTATGAGCAGAGAGAGAAGTTTACCTGAGCTAACTGTGACAAAACTAGGTGCCTAATGCGCCTTTGGTTAAAACAACACTAGAAATTCCAGTGAGATATTTATTTTTATATGCCTTGTATCACTGAAAATCTGACCCAAAGCCTTGAAGTCACATTCAGCAGAAAATCAGTTTACTAAATGTTTTGAAGTTTCACTCTCAGTTTAGCAAGTGTAGGGTTTCTTTCCTGACCAATACCAAAGGACACAGAGCTTATGCAAGTTTCTATCTGACACCTATCTTGTGTCAACCACCAGGGCAGCAGTGAGGCTTTTTTTGGAGCAGCAGCCTTTGAGATGCTATACTGTGATGCCTCATCTATGAGACAGTGAGAATAGCCATAGGAAATAGAGAAGAAAAGATCATGTTTGTTATCCTTGGGATAGCTTTTTATTCAAAGTGCAAAAAATACCTAATAGTGTGTGAAACACACCCACAGTGAATGTCACAGGATGACCTCTCCATCCTCCCCTCCTCACAAGCAAAGAGCAGCAGTGTTGGCCTGCCTGGTGTCTTTTCCATTGCTGATTCACAGATCATGTATCAGAGCTTGCACACGTAGAGCAGACAAGAGATGCTCCTCACTAGAGCTGGATGTGGCACATTACTCCAGCAGCCAAAAGGTAAGTGTATCTCCTTCCCAGTCAGTGCCTGCAAACCTGACTTCCAGGAAAGTCAGTAAGTCCACTCTGTTCACTTCAGAAGAACTTTAGGACAGCCTTGTTCCATCCAGGGCCACATCAGTCTCGTTTCTGCAGAATCCAGGCTCAGTAACAGCCTGCGGGTAGGCACAAATCAGGCTCAGTAACACAGTAATCCTTGCAACTCATCCCAAAAACGGCTACTAGAAGAATATTTTTGCACTACTTTGGAGACAGATTCAAAAAATCATCCTGGGAATTGCATCTGTATAAGCAAGTATTATTACATACTACATATTTCTCAATTTGTTGTATTAAAATACATAATTTTACAAAATGTTATCTGTAAACCCACAAATCTATGCAGTCCAGTGATAGAAGTAACATGCTTTATTTTACACAAAGTTTGACAAATTCTCCCAGTGCAAGAGAAGTTCTTTCTCATTAATGTAAGAAATACAGGGAGTCCTATCAGAAACTATTGTAATGTATTCCCTGCTGCTAGTATTTATGTTAGGATCAAATGACTGGCTTTTTCTATCAGGCCAAGTAATCTGACATAACTGAAACCCATCTGTACAAGGAGAATGTTCTTAACCCACACTGTACATACTCATCTAGAATATGAGTGAAGACCCTTCCAATAAATTTACAAATACACATTTCAAAACAACTCGGCAAGCTTTATCAGTTAACATTTCAACTTGGCTGGATCCCTCCCATTCAACGTTTGGCAGAACATACATATTTTTTTTCATTAAGAATATTTATTACAAAGAGAAAAACTTTATATACAGTATTATTACATGAGGGACTGTAGTAGAAAATTATCCAGCTGGGAAGTGCTTTGTGATAAGCACTCAGATCCAGCTTCCAGTGGAGCTGCAGGACTTAAATAACTAATTAGCTCACCCTGACTGTGAAAGTATATTTTGATAAATATTAGCTTTTTTTCAGGGTTCTTAAACCTGTAAATTGTTTGAAAACCAGAAGTCCATGCTGAGCCTTTGCCATCACTGATGTCATGGTGGAAGTATGGCTGATGTGTACCTGGGCAATAGCCCTCCACTACCACATCACATACCCCTGCTCTGCACAGAGCAAGATATTTTCATGACCAACCCACAAGGTACCTGACTGAGCCCTCTGATCTTCACCACCAGTTTTGTCAAGAGAGCCAGCACCAATGATAGGGCTGGTCTGTGAGATTCTTGCAGAACTGCCTTATGTAGGTTTTTCAGACTGGTGACAACGAATTATAACACTTCACATAATTTGCAGAGTACAATTTCTACATTATACGATTTTTAACTAGCACAGCTGATATAAAACATACTCTATTAATTACAATACAGCTAGAAAATGCCAGTGAGTGATAGTGATAGGAGTGATACTCAAAGATCTCTGTGGAAAGATACTGTATCTTAACAACAGAGTTTAGGGCCAAAATGCAATCACAAAATGCTCTTTATTATGTATTCTTAGGAGTGGATTGGGTTTTGTCTCTTGTTTTCTATCTCTTTTGCACATTTCCCTGAATGCAGAACAGAGAGCTGCTTTTATGTTAAACATACTAAAAACAGTTGCTGTGCATCTGTCATTACTGATTTATTAAGCATCAAGCTGCATGTTTCATGCAAACATGGAGAATGTAAAAGGTAAGACTCTCAATCTTTACTTTCATAAATACTTATATTAAAATTACTAAACACTCCCGTTTGTCAACCAAAAAATACCAAAAGAACTGAAAATGAAATACATAGCATATTGCAGAGCAGGTACTAAAGAACACCGAGTACTCTCAGAAATGTTGTTTAACGTGCTCACACTCAGTGTGCACACTTCGTGTTACAAATATAAAAGTGGTCCAGGAGAATGAGGCCATTGTCACAGAAGCTTCTGACTGAGTAAAAGCAGCAAACCCCATGTGGGATGAGCAACATGTTTATGTAAAACTTGGCCAACCCTCTTGCATCGTCCCCCAGAACATGTCAGAAACAGAAGCACTGACAGGGTGGCCTGCAGTGCTGTAGAAGAGAGTTATATATACAGCCATGTGCTTTCCATCTAGTGAGCTGACAGTCAGTCTAGTTACCATCAGCAAAAGTATTCGTTAGGTTGCCCCTCTATCTTTGGTATTGCTTCTGAATCCACACTGGATCGGGCAGACAACAGCCTGTTTGACTCATCGGGGGTATGTCTAGTCAAGTATTCTCCTTCCACACCTTTTGCCTTGGCCCCAGGGGACAGGCTTTCAAAGGTGACATAGGACTCCTGAATTTCCTTGGGTTTCCTCACAAAGCATTTTTTGCAGCGCCTTTTCAGCGCTCCACAGCAGACCACCAGTGTTAGAGGAACAGCAATGACACAGGCCACACTGATGACAACCACATTGATGAGCTTCTGGGTCCCTCCTGCGCTGGCGACTTCATCTGTGGAAAATATGATGCATTGCTCTTTCCTGGGGATCAGGCCTTTTACACAGACACACACAATATATTTGGTCTTTGGCAGCAACCCATAAATGGTGACCTTGGTTTTCCCTGGCTCCACGTTGATCCGCCGCATGTCCCTCTCTCCAAAGATCGCATAGAGGACACTGAATACTGTTGTGTTCTTTGCCAGAGGAGCCTTCCAGGCCAGGGTGATACTCTGGTCAGTGTCTCCTATCACCCTGACAGACCTCACCATTCGCTCTGGCTCCTGCTGAGCAGTGGGCGGACTCACCAGCAGGTTTCCACGGTTGCTATCTTGTGCCACGTCTGGGAGGATGCCCTCTCCAGTGCCCAAGGTAGGCACAGTGGAGGTGGTGATAACATACCTTGCCACTAGCTTGTCATTGTAGGCAGCTGCTTCCATCCCACTCGCCTTCCCACTCCATGCGCCTTTGACATTAGAGTTGGGGTCATCTGTGCTTTCTGAGTCTGTGATGATGAGAGATATGAATGCCTCTGTTGCCCCCAGAAAATTCTTTGCTTTACAGATGTACTCTCCAGAGTCCAGATAGGAGACTACAGGCAGGCCCAGAATAGACCAGCTCATCCCATCACTGGAAATCTCTTGGTGAACTGCAAGAAAGGAAAAATGTAACAGGCAATAATCAATAAAATTAATAACATGGTTTCTTAAATACTAAGTTTCAATCAGCCACATGTCTGCTAGATATAGTAGAATCATTTCTTTTTGCCACCAAGAACACTGCAAAGTCAAAGTAAATCCAAGAAAAGGACAGTAATACTAAAATTAGATTATGTTGGGATTTACACTGTTTCAGACCACATATATATGAAGCATTTGATGCCATTTCCTCCAAGCTACAGTTTGAAAAAAAACAGGAAAGGTTCTTCCACTAAAAAAAAAAAAAAAAAAAAAGAAAAAAAAAGAAGAATAAAGCTTTAAAGCTCTTATGTAGGGACCATACTAAAAGAGCGGAAGCAGTAGACAGTAGCACAATCTATCTAAACATTAGATGCAGTCCTCTGAGTCACAGAAAATAGAAATAGTGAAGATTTTCTTCTAACAACCATATATGGATTAGTCCAGGTTATATGGAGAAAAATACCTGGAAAATAATATCCATCTTATTGCTAAATTCATGCAGGTTTTCATGTTGACCCAAACACAGGGAAGTCTGATCACTTACCACTGAACGAAACGTACACAGCTGTGTGTTGATTTTCTCACTTGGTTTACCAGGAGCCTAAAACTAGCTCTTTTTTAACTTCTTTTATTTGTGCAGAAAAAAAGAGGTGGAATCAGGAAAAAGGGTAAAGCACCCTCTTCCTTATTTAACCAGCCTCCTTAGGATGAGTACATACTATCTCTGCTCTTTCCCACTGACAGTTAAAAACCAGGGAGATGTCTGAAAGGCAAAGGTAAGACACAATGCAAACTTCTCCCAAGCGCTTGTGGGGTCAGGATCCAGCCTTGGCAATCAGGACACGTTCCAATGGTAGTAAAATACAATGGCATCAGAACTTACTTTTTCAGTTTAATTATTTACTGAATGAGTATATTAAAAAAACATAAGGCTACTGGTCTTCCTATGGCACTTAGCCATGCATACAGACTGTGGGCTGTTTCTCACGCCTTTCTGTTTAGAACACCAGTATTTCAGTCATATTATAACATTGGCACAGAAGCTGCCATAGTTCAGAAATAATTTTCAGCTAGCTTTTTATTGAAAGGTCCTGAAGTCTGATTTAATGTGGCACAAAATACATCACAGAAGGGTTACAGGGGACCTTGGTGCAGAGAAACAGGGGACCTTGGTGCATAGAAACAGGGGACCTTGGTACACAGAAACAGGGGAGAGAGCATTTTTCTTTCACAGCAGTAGAACCCCTTGTAATAAATACCCCTTTGGGGGATCTGCAGAAGTCATTGCTCTGTTGTACATGATGTGCAGGATGTAGCAAAGCTGCTCCTCACAGCAATGTCTACCATTTCGCTGTGAGCATCCCTCCTACACTTGGAAGAGACCCACAACAAAAAATAAAACAGAGAATGCTTTCCCAAAGGTGTATGCAGTTTACTTTGAACCTTTTTAGTGACTGAATAACTATCAGACTTAATACAGCCTCTTGCTACAGATGGACATATTTCTTCAGCTCCAGCAAATTTGCAGAAAACCCCTTGACTCGTCTCACTACCACAACTGTTACAGCATACATTTATCTGATGATATTTACATCAACACGTAAGTAATTTCATAGTTTATAGAAAAATCACAATGCAATAGTGAATTACAGAAGCTACTATTGTGAATGATAGTGAATATTAATTTTGTACCGCTTTCATCTTTAGGGTCTTTTATCAGTGAGAAGTATCTATTGTCATGGAAGCGTCCATTTGCTGAAGAGCCTGTACATCCAGGTCTCCCTCACCCATTCCATGTGCAGGTGAAAAGCTTAAACCAAACCCACCTGTGCCATTTAGCTGAGCACCATCAGCTCTTCTCCAGCTGAGCTCAGGAATGGGCACCCCCGTTGTTCCACATCGTAGTAGCACAGTGCTGCCCAGGATGGTCTTTACTTTGGCTACAGACGTATGCACAACAGGGCTTTGACACTTCCTTAGCTCAACTTGGCTGAAGTAGACTCCTGCAAGGCTCCGGGGGGTGAAGCATTTCAGCCTGGGCTCAATGAATGCTATGTTAGGAGACTGGAAATTTAGGAAATGGACCATTTCGTACAGACTGCAGTCACATACCCAAGGATTGTCTTGCAAGCCTGTCAAAATAAATCAGAGCACTAAGTCACTCCAACAGCACCGTCTAAGGCCATTGCAGACCATCTTCCCTGGGCTTGGAAAGGATTTGAAAGCAAGCGACCTTGGTGGGAGAGCACTTCTTATTAATTAATGTATTAAAGTTAAGCGGACTGAGTAAAGAATGAAATTTCAGCTTGGCTTTGTGGCTTCTGGCATTTTTGCTATCAGCTTACTTCTGACTTCATGCACAATTTATTGCAGATTCTCTGGCAGACGGCCCAGCCCCAGTTGATGCTGTGGCACCCCTAAAGCCCTGCCATTTGCTGCCCTGCCTGGCAAAATCCTGTGGGTTCATGTGCCTGATCCTCCTGTGCAAAAGCTTGTAGCCTTGGCACAGACTACCAGCCAGCAGGCTACCATCGAAGGTACTTCTTGAAATAGCCAACAAGCAAGGCATCTAAAAAGGAGTCACAATGATGTACTGTAGACAAAGGAAGGAACTAGGCTGACCCTTTACTATTAATGGATTTTTTTATACCTCCACGAGACACAGTCATGAGCAGAGTGAAACAGAAACATGCAGCTATGTTCTCCCATTCTGCTCCTGTGGGGGACATGTGTTTCATATACCTGGTGCCAATGGGTGTCAGCAGGATAGGACCTAGGAGCTGAAATGTCTATACATTACAGTGTTAATCTTAGCATTATAGTCATTTGCCTACATTAATCTTTTAGGATCCTGGCACAAGCAACCTGTGCACAGCTGGCTATAAAAAAAACTCGAGTTGGCCATGATCATCAAGGCATGAACTGTTCTTCTTGACAGAATACTCTCCTGATCTATATTTAATGGAATAACATTTTCACATGTAACTGAACTCTAAAGAAAAATAAAGAGTGTGGTCTAGGCAGTGTCTTGTTATGCCACAAATGAAATGGGCAATCCCAAACTGCCAGCTTCAGCTTAAAGAACTGATACTGCATCTGGCAAAACAAGGTGACAAAAAAATCTGCTCCTCTCTTGATGTTAATGAAACCTAAAACAATATTTGCTATGGAGCAAGCTTTGTAGGTGTCAGTTTGAATCTTCTTAAAGTCTTATGTCTCTTTCCAGGGCATCTGGTTTTAAACACTTTTCTTCCTTAAATTTATCCAGAGAACATGGCTGTAGAGGCAGTACACACAGACACACACGGTCCAGAGATCAACCAGTCAGTGGAGCTGGGTCAGCTCATAGCAAGGAAAGACAGCAGATGGCAACTCGTAACCATCATCAACCTGGCATGGATTTTAACTAGTGCATGACAGCTAAAAGGCTGAGTAGTAATCCCCAGAACTAGTGCTCAAAACCTCATGTGAGGATACTGCATCTAGGAGGATTCAAGACAGTCATCTGTAATGTACCCTCAGAGACAAAAATGAACAATTACCCCAAAGCCATACTTCTGAGGAGCCCAGAACAATCACCAAAAAGTGGATTCTTGTAACTTTACAATATTAAAAAGACCTTGTAACAATGTCTTGATGCTTTGGGGAGACTAGGGTTTAATTCTGTGGGAACAGATAAACAAGGCTCTGGAAAGAGACAAACTGGCAGTCCTCACCCAAATTTTGTACAAAGTGCTGCCTTTATTCCTCTTTAATTTGGACATAATAAATACCTATCTTTTTATTTAATGCTGCTTAAAATGGATCTATTTCATAGCAATTGCTGTTAGAAAAGAGCACAAGAATGACATGGAGCTCTAATCATATTTATTTCTGTCAAAAACTAGTGTCAATAAATAAGAAGGGCTTGAGCAAGAGTCACCAGTTTTATGTTACAAAGATTCAAGTAAGTGATGAAGTTTATGGTGATGGGGATGCCTGAGGTTTGTTAATATGTAAACAAATATGTTCACTTTATATGAGGTATTAAATTATACACAAGAGTGTACTTGCTGTGGTAACCCCAGTGGGTGAAAATGCTGCAATAAGATGCAGAGCTCCTGACATTTGTGCCCCCCTGCAAAATGACAGGCACTTCTCTTACCTAGGATCATCTTGGAATTATCATTGGGGAAGTAAGGAACGGCCTGGAGACTGGCCCAGGTGGCGATAAGAGCCTGTGGAAGAGTCATCAGCTTATTGCTAGACAGGTCCAGGTATGTGATATTCTTGACATAACGAGCAGCATCTGGAGGGATTGAGGTAAGTTCATTGTTATGTAAATCCAGAAGTCTTAGCTGTGGCATGTCAGCCAGGGTTTCCCAGGGGAATGATATTAAGTCATTCCCATCCAGCCTCAGCTCCTGTAAGCGATGAAGGCCCTTGAAGGTGATCCCACTGAGGCTGGCCAGGGAGTTATAGGGCATCCAGAGGTACTCAAGGTTGTGGAGTCCATGAAAAGCCTCTCCTGGCACCCTGCGGATGGCTGTCTTTTCTATCCGAAGCTTGGACGTATCTACAGGAATGTTCACAGGAGTGAGGGTCATCTCCGGGTCATTACACAGCACCGTCCTGGTGGAGAAACAAACATGGATGTGACTTTCTCACATTTTAAACAGGTTTTGAAACTTTATTTATATGTAAGACTTTGATCCATATTTCTTTTTCCACAAGATTTCTTACTTGCTGCTGATCTCTACTACATCATCAGCATAAGCACATCAACTTGCAGTAATTCATATGCACCTTTTGATTGCAGAGATTGCAGTGTTGTGCCTCTGCTGGAGTGGTGCGAGTCTAAGTCTGGCCCATACAGTATTCCTGCTTCTTTTTTACTTTAATTTTTTTAGAGTACTTATGATAGATAGCAGTGACAACATTCACACACTACACAAGGTTCTAGTGCATGTTAGATTAAAAGGATCCATAAACTGAACTGTAAAAGACATACGAAAAGAAGCCTTGCTGACTTGTGGAATGGCAATAAGCAATATAGATTACATATGGTACAGGATCTTTGATTTGTGAAATGAGGATAAGAAAGATAACCCACTGGAAATACACTTCAGCAAGTCTGCTTTACTATGAAACAGTCTGGAAGGTGTGTACAGTCATAGAATCGTTGAATGCTTTGTGTTGGAAGGAACCTTAAAGATCATCTGCTTCAAACCCCCCTGGCCATGAGCAGGGACACCTTCCACGAGACCAGGTTGCACAAAGTCCCATCCAACCTGGCCTTGAACTCTGCCAGGGATAGGGCAACCACAGCTTTTGTAGGCAACCTCTTCCAGCCTCACCACCCTCATAGTAGAAACCTTCTCCCCTAGAGTGACTGCCAAGAACCAATCTTCTACAGAGAGGCGTGTAGAGTTATGAGACTGAAAGTGCAGAAAATTAGTTCTCTGGAAAATGCTATATTAAAACAAGGCAGATTTATGTGTCTTAATCATTCCTTCATATTTCTAATCTATAAAGGTCAAATCATAAAAACCCTATGCTGTATTTTTACAGCCTTTGTACAAGAAATTTTGACTTTGACTTTGCCAAGATGTGGGATTGTAGATGGCCGTGAGGAATGAAGGGAGACAAAATAGGTATCTCAGACTGCACTTCAATTTGTCTATGAGCAATGAGAGAAAAACAAGTTCGTAACAAAATACAAAGCCACCTTGCAAAAGGTAGCAGGTTAGATAGGCGTGTCCCACTCCACAGGCTAAACATGATACCTGAAGAAAGGTAGTGTGATCAGTCAAGTAACATTTTCTTATCTTCCTGCCTGACTCATAAACAGAATATTACAAAGCTGTCAAAACCAGACTGGTTTTGGCTGAAAACAATTATTCCTCTACTATCAGCAAAAAACAAATAACATAGCTGAACTGCTCATGCAAGCTTCCCAGAGTTAAATGTTATTTGAGCCTGCAGTTAAATTGTTAATTTATAATCAAAGCATAGTACATTACTCTAATCCAGCACTTTTACTGTGGCATTAAATCCTGCTTACCCTCATCTGAAAGTTGAGATGTTGAGAAAGATAAAAATCTATCAAATAAGAAAAATTCAGAAATCCTCTTTCAATAAAACATTGTGTGTATGTGCGTGTGTGCAGGCATGACACAAAATGATGACAGAGGCACTATGGCAGTGAACCAGTGTGCTTCTCATATTGTCCCTAAATTATGTCAGTGGGCACTAAAGATTTAATCTATGGGGTAATCTCTTCTACTAGTGAGAAATATGAATCATAACGCAGAAAAAAAGGTCACATTACGGTCCCTAATGGATATTCCCTCTATTATGTGTCTTACCATAATACAGTACAGCTTTTTACAGTCAGTGAGAGGAAATTCCCGTGCTAACTGTGACATTTATGGAGCAATAATTGGTTCTCCCACTATTGCACTCCCTTTTAACATTTGCAGATTACTAGTGTCTCTATCATGCTTCTTACTGGGAAAGTTTCTGGTATTAAATCCATGGCACCATAAAAGCAGTAACAAAGTAGATCTGTTTCATGAGGATCCGAAATACAGGGGACAGCCTTTCATTTCAGTACCGTGGTCTTGTCTAGGAAAGATTTCTTCCAAAGGATTTTGCAAATATTGTATCTCTGTCACGAAACCTCCTCTACTGTGAGCCACAGCTTATAAAAATGTAGCCTGTGTTTCATTTAAGTCAGATCATTACTTTGTGATTGCCCTTCAGGAAGACTTTTTAATTACAGTCCTCCGGTGAAATGTCTGTACAAGGGCGTTGTGTTCAAAAATAGGTGGCCTTCTGGACTTGTCTTCTTTTATAACTGAAAGTTTAAAGTTTGAGAATTATATGAATTTATTTTTAGTATTATTATTATCTTTTTGTTGTTGTTCATTCTCATCTAGACTCTGTTGCTTTGCTTAAAATCTCCATCTGAAGGATTTTTCATGTAAATGGAATTGCAGTTTGTGGTACCACAACATAAGCCAGATCTAGTTACACTTCAGAAACAAACCAACAGAGCAGAATAAAGCTTTTTTAAACTAGCATTTTCAGCATAAAGGTAAAGAAAGAAAGAAAATATTTAAATTTTATTCCATTTTTGCTATTGCACCCCGTGGTTATTATGTCACTTCTCACAGACTAGATGCCCAAACGCTTTCTCTGAAATCAGCTTACTGTGTTTTTAGAAGCTAATCCTCTGCAAATAAAGCTAGAGCACAAAGCAACTGGAAAAATAATGGACAGGGAGTCTGGAAGCAATATTTTCTCCTGTGAGCATCCTTATGGAGGAAAAGAAATAAAATCCCCAACACCCAGAGAAAGAGCAGCAACAACCCCCAGTGAGATATCCACATACCTGGCTTTCGTCCCTTCGCTGAGGCTGTGGAAGGCGCAGCTGCACTGCGATGGGCATGAGCCACCCGCCCGTGGCAGCCCTCCGAGCGTTACACAGCAGAGAAAACTCACCAGGATCCACATGGCTACCTGTGCATGAGAAGGACACCTGGGAACTAGACAACGTGAAGCGCTTCACCTATTGTTTTATCCATTGACTGGTCACATCTTGTTAACTCCCTTTTGTTTTCAGCCGCACTGTGATCTTCCAGCCCTCACTGAGTCCATCAGATAAAAAAGGATAGGCAGGGATTAAGGATGGGGACTTGAGTTATTTTCATGGAGGTGCTTATTGCTTCCTGGAACCGTACTGACAGTATTTCTTCCCTTGGGGAGCACCATCAATACACCTTTCTTGGGCAATCTGTGGCTCTTTTGCAAGAAAAAAGCAAAGACACTTTTTGGGGACCTGCATCATAAGCAAGATAACTGTTATCTGACTAGGAATTAGCAGTAATTTACTTCCTCACAGGGAACTGGAGTACTTAAAAATAGTTTCTTGTGCTAATGGAATGTAAGCCTCCTATATAAGAATACTAAAAATATATAGTGACAATATTTAAATGCTTAATTTTCTTTTAAATCCCCTACTTTGATCAAACAATTATTGAACTGTTGGCAACATGCCTGATATTGATGAACAATGAAGAACCCAGTAAATATGCTCATATTTCAGTTTACCAGGACCAGCACACCCCTGAAGGACTGAGCACTACGGTCTATCTTGCTGATACAGCAAAGCTCAGATGAGGGACCATTTTCAGGAATACCACCTGATGCAGGGTGGTGGAACAGCTTTAGGGATGCTAAGAAAAGCTCAGATGGGATGTCTTAAGGACATCCCAGGACTGACTGTCAATTTATTTCTGTCCACTCTCCTTGAAGACAGTTGTTTCCATCTGTTAGCAGAGGCAGCCATAACTGCAAAGCTGGTGGAGACCACCCATGTTTTCATCTATATTCCTTTGACTCTGAAGAGCACAATGCATGGGTAGAGCCCAGATATGCACAAATATAAAGCTTAAGAAATTGTTACTTGAGATGGGAGCAGAATTTTATTCATACTAGCAGTGACATCTGTTTATAAAGACTGTTGTTTTCTGTTCCATGTAAATGTATATAAATCACTCACACCACAAAAGTAAAAAGCTTTGGAGAAACTAACAGATCATTACTTTCAGCCTGATCAGATTGCTACTCCCCCAGTTCCTAGCTATACTGCTTTAGTGCTTTGGCAGAAAAATTGACCTCTGTTTCAGACACGAAACAGGAAACACAAGTTAACAGAAATGAGGAGTAACTGAATCGTGCTGAACAGCTAGTAATACAGCAGTAACCAGAGACTACTTCTACTCCTTCAGAGATACTTTAGGAAAATATTTCTTTTCCTGTTCTGGAGCTCAGGAAAGCCTCAGTGCCCAGCAGTGGTACAGGGGAGATTCCCAGGTGCCTCACTCAACATAAAATATGAGCAACTCTACTAAAATCCTGGACCCTGTGATTAGAGAATAAGAACTCTGCCATCTGCTTCACCCAAAAAACTGGGAGTGCAGAATCAAATGTGGTTTGTTGAAGCAGAAACTACCTGGCATCCTGTTGGCCCTTCAGCACCTGTCACTTCCCAGCCTCCCTTTTCTTTACACAGAGAAGAAGGGGAAAGGAATTACAACCACAAAGATTTCTCTAAAAAATTAGGTTTTCCTGGATCTTAACCAAAGTCATATTGATCAGGAAAAGTGCCCATCACAGTCTCTTCTCTCAGTGTTTGAAGATGCTATCGCTTTGCCATCCACCTCTTGTAGATAACCATTTAAATTCAGATTTCCTTGGAGATACAATTCTGCACCGTTTTAAAAGCCTGGTTGTATCTACAGCCGCCCTTTTGCAGAGACACATAGAAGAATCAAATCATATAAGCTGCTGTAAAGCCAAGGAAGAAATATGAACAATCTAGTCCAAAAGATACTTTGGAGTTTAGAAGAAAATATTTTAAAACCCAACCAAAGAAAACCGCAACAGACCATTCAACATGCAGACCTTCCATGCGAGAGTGCTATGAGAGGCAGACATGTTTTGAAGACCTCCTGTGGATGTTACACCTCAAATCTCTTCCAATACTTGTGAAGCCATCTCAGGTCCCTAACAAAAGACTAGTCGAAGGTATTTGTCAAGATGGACAGGATGTTCCAAAATAAGTGTAACATGGGCAACTTGAATTGCCTGCTGACAAAGCTTGTCTCTTTTCCTGCTGGCAACAGTGGTAATTAAGGGAGCCCAGTTCCCCAGCTAAGATGAATGCAGAAGGCTACGTGGTATAACTACCCTCACATCTCCACTGCTTCTCCAATAGCCCCCTCTCTCCTACCTGGGCTGAGGATCTGCCTATGTGAGGAAGACCCCTTTGGGGTAAACTAGCTGCAGTATCTCCAGCTCCAGAGTTCATCTTGCACCTCTCCAACACCCCTCCCTGTTGCAGACCTGTTGATTTTGCTTTTCCTTTCAAATATATAATCAGAAGTTACCAGTCAGAAGTGCAGCAATAACATACCTACCCCTACATGCAAGCTACCTGAAGGGTAATGAGCATGTTACTGCAACAGTATAAGGCATTGTTCCTAAGATTGCTTGCCAGGATTTCTGGCTTATAGCTGTTTTCATGCAGATTCATCCATTCTGTGTTCTTCAGCAGAATGAAATTACAGTGGCAATTTTTCAATAGTACTGTGTGATGAACTCTCAGAGTTTCAAGGCAATCTAGATGTGGTTTGGAGCTAACTATTAAGCAGACATTTTATGGTGCCATACTTTCACATAAGCTTGTTCCACAAGTAACTCCAATAATTAATTAAGGCTTGTCAAAATCACGTACTGAGAGGATGGCCCAAAGCATTTCTTTTTTCCCATGCTATTTTCATGTTTTACATTTATTGTTGTTCAAAGAGAAATTCAAGTATCTCATTATTTATTTCTGAACAGATGAGAACATGATGCACTGGTGCTCATTAAATATCCATTCTTGTTCTCCCATTGACTTCCATTAGGCCTCATTTCTAGATTTAATGATTTCTTAGTGCCCTTAATGATCTCCAGCTAAGGCCAAGCTCATTGGTTTTTTTAGTGCACTCATTGGTCAACTTGCCTTGCCACCCAGACTCTGCCTCAGCTCAATACTCACAACATTGACCGAAACATCTCTCTCCCGAATGAAGTTAAATTCTACTTGAAAAAGCAATTCAGCATAATTAACCTCTTGGCTCTATTCTTTTTGAACGCATCTGATAAAGTGGTGTCCCTCCATTGGGTCTCTGGAATAATAACCTTGTAGAAAGCAGCCAGTAACTGTATGGTAAGATTTGTTTTCACAAACCTCAATTTTGCCTCACAAATGAAACATCTATGTTACAACTAAATGCCAGGAGCAGTAGAAGTAAACTTAATTTATAAAAAACAACAGCAATAAATAAAGCATGGCTTAGTGACTGCTAATGCTATGCACTTTGTCTAGAATGCTGCTCTTTAGTTAACATGACAGACTCACTTCTGAAAAAGGAAGAGAAATACCTCATGGTAGACTGAGAGATTAATAAAACAAGATAAATAAAAGTGATTACACTAAGGAGTAAGGCCTTGGTGCACAGGGAGCAGATGTGTTCCCCTGGTGCATAGGCTTCATAGATTTAACAGAAAGGAGCAGGCAGAAGAGGGAGAATTAGTAAAACAAGGGCAATGAAATGACATGCCTACAAACATAAGGATAGATGCCAGTAGCTGCGCATCAGGGATTACATGACAGAAACTGCAAGCACGTGTGATGCAGCATCCGTGAGTGGGGTGCAAGGAGATGCTAATTCTGGTTACATCCATGTTCCATCCCTAATTCAGGACATGGAAGAGACAAAACTGGAAGCGAAATCTAGCTAATCTGCTGAACAGACCATGTACTCACCTTTACACACAATTCTGGTTTGTCCTGAAGCATTTGCTTGCAATGCAACAGCTTTCTAGATCGTCATGGTATTTTTAAGGCGTTATTACCTCCTCCCAACTACTGAACAGGTATTCACACATCATGCTACTTCATTTCAAATGAATAGTCATTAACTAACTTTCATGTAGGTGCAGGTGATATTTATGTGAGACTGTTTTCCAAGTGCTAAAGGGACCAGTGCAGAGTAAAACCAGTTTTTTCATGACAGTGAATTTCATTCCATAATGAAACTAGTGGGAGTTAGGACCTTCACTTCCATGGGTACAATTCTGCACTCTAAATCATGAAAATTGTGCTCCTTGCTGCTTACTTAGGAAGTAAACAATTTCTTCTCTGCATCAAGCTAAAAATATATTAAAAAAAAAAAAAGAAAACCAAACACTAAAAAAGAGCAAAAAAAGTAAGAATTTTGTTTGCATTCTTTGAGAATAGCCAGATCCCCTGTTTATTTTTGTGGTGAAAGCAAATGCAAAGCAAATGGGGTCAAAGCCTACTATTAACAAAGTTCAGTATATGGCAAACTTTTCTTAATGATGTATAAAGTGGAGAAATTTTCTTACTTTGTTTTAATAGGATTAAGTTCACTAGACATTATAGTTTCCATTTTTCATCCCATATAGACTTTTTGAACCCAGAATTGATTTATCAACAGATTCTACCCACAAGCTCGAAACAAAACTTGAGTGATGAACTCAGCATGCCCCACAAAGTCACTAATTTTTAACATGACCATTGGACAGAATTTATTTTTACTTCTTTTCCCCGTATACTTAAGAAAAATATGGCATAAAGCAAATAAAACAGCATATTTTAGCATAAATGAAAGCCATAAAATACCTTATTATCATGATTTTGTCTGAAAGGTTTTATTAGCATGCAACACAAGCCAGACACAAAATCAATTCATTAGGCAAATGCATCTCCAAGAAGCTTCTGGCAGGGCATATCTTTTAAAGTGGAAAATCCTTCCCACTGATGCAAGTCAAGAGCACGTTAATGCATTACGTCATTCTAAATTGGATCTTGCACTTAATGCTGTTGAAGGCAGCTCCTCCAGACCTATAGGACTGAAGTCATTAATAGACTTCTGGGCATGTTGAAGAAAAAAAATTTACCCAAACAGGATTTTTTCATGGAACATTAGAAGTTTATCAGAGATACTTATTTTTTAATAAAGTGCATACATTTACCTTGGTTATTATAACCAGTTCAGAACAGCAGAAGTGAGTACAGACCTCTAACCCAAGGGGAAGATAAATGCATACACCTCCCCTGTGAATGCAGCATTTGACCCATTTCTGCCCACGCAGCAGAAGCCGCTTCACAAGACCACGTTGCAACCAGCAGTGCTCAGTGAAGCAAGCCTAGCAGAAGATGGAGGTGTGTACCAATCCACCTGGTCTCTCCTTCTCTCCTCCCTCTTGGGCTCGTGCACCTAGGCAGGT